AATATATATATATATTTATGAAACATTTTCAACTTTTTTTTTTTGTAATTCTTAGTTTTCCGGAATAAAGTTTTACAAAAATAAAAAAAAAAATGCAGAAAAAGAGTTACCAAAAAATATTAATGCCTGATATATAAGGTAAGCAGCCTTACTTTCCCTGATAACCTACACACAGTAAGCTCAATTCAGGCTTAAAATATAATGTGGCTAATGCCACATGATCATGTGATTTTCTTGTACATAATAAGAACAAAACTTATCACGTTTCTTTCAATAGCCCTCTATGACAATTGCCGGTTATTCGCAATTTACAATAGTCTTTTCAATAAAGCCCTGTTACAGCCCTCGTGTATTAAAAAAGAGTTGCTGTGTTATATGCGCAGTTATAATAACAACGCTTTGAATATCGCACAGTGGCTGTAAAACGAGTTTGGATTTGTTGAAATAAGCATTTATGAAAAATTAAATGCACACTGCATATTTGTATATACCTGAGCGTAAATATATATAGTAAATATACATATATACCTATATATACATATACGTGTGTGTATTTATTTGTGTTTCTTTATAGAGAGGAGACATAAGTAGACGCTAACTTGGCCAGACAGTTGTTGTTAAATATTGCAAGATGTTGCAGTTGCAGTTGCAGCAACTGCAATCGAGCGTAATGCGCGCGCATGCAACGTGCCGCAGCAGTAGCAGCAGCAGCACCACCAACAACAACACCTTTGAAATGGTGTCAGCAATAATTTATCAAAATAAAGCGAAGAAAAAAAAACGAACATGAAAAAAGCATAAATAAACCAGGCAAAGCTGTTCAAACCGCATCTAAGTCTAAAAAAAAAAAAATGAAAAGAGAACCCGAACAATTTGCATGAGCGCAGCCAGAGACAAAAGACAATGCATGAATGTATCTGTGAGATACGAGCTATCTCAAGTGCTGGCCCAGGGCATGTAAAGCGTGTCAGCGCAGTGAAACTCGGTGAAATAATTGCGGTAAGCGCATAAATAAAATTACACATGTTGTGAATTTGCAAGCAACAGCCACGCCCACTGACAGTGCCAGCAGTCGGCAGCACTCACCGGCAGCCCTACAACAGGTAAACAAACGCAGACAGAGGCAGGCAACAGTTATTCGCTCGATCTGTGCACCTCTGTCGGATACGCTCTTATCTTATCGCGTCTTCCTGTTGCTGCCCCAGGTATTTATTGATTTGTATACCCTTTAGTTATGGAATATGGCTGCGAAAGGGTATGATGTAAGAAAAGAAGCCGTACTCTCTCCCTCTCTTCTTTCATTTGTAATCTACTTTACTATCTATCGATAGTTTCTGTCAATCAATAGGAAAATTCAGGGTATCCTCTGGCTGATCATGCCCAACAAATTTAATGTTACTTGTTTTTTTTCGATGCTCTGCTGATAATGCAAGTGGCAAAAACATTTTTACGACCTTTCGGAAGGGTCGAGAGATAGACAGGCGAGGGTTGGCAGAGGGTAGCGAAAAGGCTCTGTCAGTGATGTTGACAGCAGCCGCAACTAATTAAGGAAAATGACGTCGACAATGAGCATTATCCTGCGCTCAGCCCTCTGCACGTGCCCTTTTGCCCTTTAATAGAAATAATAGGGGCTGGCTAAAGTGCATACATACACACACATAAATATGGTCCACACGACGACGACTTTCATTTTTCCACTACATTTATCCTGTCAACAGGAATTTTCATGGTATTTGACAGCATTTCCGAGAAACTAATCAATGAAAATGCAGGCAAACCTCAAACATAAAACACTATATTTATGTATGTACGTATATATACGTATATCTCTGTATGTATCTGAGAAATTCAAGGTATTTAATTTACTGTGAGTTCCTGCAAAGGTCACGTAAATGCTTATAATTCAAATATCTTATATAGAATAGTGCTTAGAAACTGCAGCAGAGGCACGATTTGAGTTTGCATGAAGGCAAAAAATGTAAGAATGATATTATATGAAATAATATTTATAAGATTTTTATAAAAGGGAATTTTTAAATTACGTCAATAAATCTGTTAATATACCACATATCTACCTTTTAATTTTCCCTTTCATATTTTCTATATGTAATCCAATTCTACTATATAGTCGTCTGCCATAGGCATTGATATAACCAGTTTCTCTTGTTCTCGATAAAAACATTTGTCCCTGAACAAACAGAATATTGTAAATGAGAGTAAAGTTTAAAACCGATTCGCGTGAGTCACATGGGGTTGCTTTTAATAAGTCTACATAGTGACAGACTTATCAAGGAATATTACTGTTTCATTACTGACTTACATTACAAACTTAAAATGGAAATGCTTTTGTGAAATTAAAAAATTTATAATGTATAATATAGAACTCTTATATAATATGGTATAACAATTATAAATGTGATAGAAAAATTACACAAATTTACACACAAATCGCATTCCAAACTCAAAATGAAAAGTTCCCCTATACGACTATAGTAGTAATACTACAATGAAATTTATCGATGATTGTAGTGTCAGAGTGACATGTGAATAACCCATTCCAATTAAATTCAATACAAAATTATAATAATTAATTATATAATATATGTATTAGGTATTACATATTTGTATAGGTTAGATTAAATAATATGGAATTCCTAAAAATAAGCTTGATGTCATATATAATAGTTTAGTGCACGATAGACGTTAAAAAAAAATATATATATATATCATAAAATATACTTTGCCATATTTCACCTATAATAATTCTTGCTCTTTGATGAACTCAGTTGATGCATTAAATTTTGACAAAAATTCCCAAAAATAACCCATTATATCATCATTATATTGCACTTGTCTATACTGTATAGATGCCGGCCGAATTTTGCAAATCTCTGACTCACCGTTTGACGTTGCGACAACGTTTCTCATTCTCTCGCTCAGCTTCCTTGACACTATCCCAGCTATCGCCCACGCCCGACGATGACATGTCGTCCAGTCGCTCCTCATCCTCCATGCCGGAGTCCTCCAAGCTAATGTGACAGCTGGTGAGGGTCACCTGTTTGCCATTATCCCCCACCTCAATCCAATCGGACGTACGTATGCGCTGCGAACGCTCTGTTCCATAGGGTGATGAGTCCGAGGAGCAGCCGGAGGGGCAGCGTTTGCGTGGCGTCGAGCTGCCATTTGCATTATCCTTCAGTGATTTATTGACCGCATAGGTCAGTGTGTCGTCCTCCTCGTCGCCATCGGCATCTTCCACATTATCAGCGTCCACATCCTCCGTATCCGCATCCTCAATCGAATTGTAACGCTGACGTGTCTTAGTGGGCGTGGCCTGCCACTTAGTGGGCAACTGTTCCAACGAGCAGGCACGATTACGCATAGCCGCCAGCTCTGAGATGAGCAGCTCGTGGAAGGCATGCTTCTTCTCGGGCGTGTTGCCCGCACTGACCGAGCCCTTTATTGTCTTCGATTTGGGCTGGGTCTGGGTCTGGGCCTGGGCCTGGACACTGCTGGTATTTATGTTGATGCGCGTGCAGTTGCCTGCCGCCTGAATCACCTGGCTCAACTGTTCCTGCTCCTGCTCCTGTTTCCTTTCCCGCTCCAACTGCTGCTGCTGCTGTTGCTGCTTCTGCTGCTGTCGCTTGAGCCGCTCCTGCGCTAGTTCCTGCTCCAACAATGCCTGATGCTGTATGGCGCGCTCATGCTTGGTTATGATGGTCGTATCGGCCAAGGTTTGCTTCTGCGTCTGGCTAATGATGATCTCTGAGAACAAACGCTCGGCAGCATTTTTCAGATTATTCTTAAACTCCACCGTTTTGCCGCCCAAATAGCTGCCTCCACTGCTCTGGCTGGACAGCGGACTGTCCAGCGTTGTCTTGGAGCGTCTGAAGATGCTGCTCACGGGCACATCCTCCACGTCCAGCGTGGCCACCGGCATTTGGACAATCTTGCGCGGCTTGGGCAGCGGCTGAGCAGCAGGCAACAGACCTGCCCGCTCGAAATCCACCTTACCCAGGCTCAGGCGCGTATCCTTATGGGGCGGAGTGCTCTGAGTGGTCAGGCTATTGGCGCGATTCACGCTGACAACCGACTCTCGAGGTTTAGCTGTGGGCACAGCGGGCGCCTTGCGTAGCTTCAGCGGAGGCTTCGGCGCCGTTGCCGGTGCAGCAGGTGGAGTTGTCGTTATGGGAGCAACTGTTACTGTTGCTGCGGCGCCTGTTGCCGTTGCACTGTTCACTAGCGCCATGGTGGGCGTCTGTGTCTGCGCCTGTTTCTTTTGCAGATTCAGCGAGGGCGACTTGTACACCAAGGTGCGTCCCACGGCGCTCAGTTGGCTAACAAATGTGGGCTTCTTTTGTATGAGCGGCGGGCAGGGCGTGGCAGCTGCCACAGCCCCAGCTCCTGCTGCTGCTGCTGCTGCTGCATTTGCTGTTGCTGTTTTGGGCCTGGGCGGCACTGGCGGTCCGGGCCGCTTAACCGCAAGTGTTGCCTGCATTTCGCTTGTTTTTGTTGCTGTTGCTGTTGCCATTTGCCTCTCAGTTCTCACGCGTTGTCGCTGTTATTGGTTCCAAGGCGCAAAACCCGTATTTGTAGGTCACTTTTGATACCCTAAACACGAGTGTGCAAATCGGGTATGCTAAGGCAAATGTTCTTTAGACAGATTTGCCAAAAGGTGAACTTAATTTTATGATACGGTTTAAAAGCTATTGCTTTTACAGTTTTAGAGCCGAGCAAAACAAATTTGCACTCAAAACTTTTCTCTATTGCACTCTTCACTGGGTATTTGCCAGGTCGACTCCTGCCGTTGGCCAAGTTCTTGACTTGTTTCTTTTTTTTTTTTTTCTTGCACCTTTTCGACTTCTTCGACTTTGTATTTTGGTATTGCGATGCGTTTATTTATTTATTTATTATTATTTAGCATAAAACTTGTTTTTAGCTGCGTTCTCAGGCGACGGCGGCCACTGATGCTGCTGCTGCTGTTGTTGTTGTTGTTGTTGTTGTTGTTGTTGTAGATGTTGTTTTTAGCATTTTGACTGCAACTGCGATGGCTGCGGCGATGGCGATGGCGACTGAAACTGCGACTGCGGCGACGACTGCGACGGCGGCAGCAACTGAGACTGCGGCTGATCTATTTTGAATATAGGCCACGGCGGCGCACTAACGGGCCTAGTTGCTCTTAAGTGTTGCTGTTGTTGTTGTATTTGGTTTGGCTTATTGCTTATTGGTTTATTGGCTTATTGAAACTGGTTTTTAGCTCGTTGTTGTTTTTGTTGCACTTTGAATTCTCTGTGAGTTTTTTTTTTTGTTTTTGAAGTGAAAGGGTTTTAGTATTTAATATTTCATATTTAGAATACAGCGATTGCTCGAATATTATTAACTTTATGGGATATGAAAATTGGATTCTTGCTATATACAAATTATTTAATTTTTGATTTTTTTATAAAAATTTTCTTATTGAAATTTTCCTAAAGAAAAAAATTGTATATAATTTTCGAACGATCACTGTATCAAATTAAATTCGTAATTTTTTCAATGTATATCTAAACAAGCTTATTCAATTTCAATATCTTGAAAGTCTTTTAAAAAGTCTTTTTTGATTTATCTTTAGCTTTTGCACGATTTCTGTGTCTTGTTGCGGGCGAGCCACAAAAAAAACACACACACACACACGTCATAATTAAGTTAAGCTGTTAGAAAGCTTAATTAAGCCAAAAGGCACATAAAAACGATAAAAAGCCGAACAGCAAATGTGCCCAGAATAAATTGTAAATTAATGAAGCGTTTGAGCCGCAGCAAATTGTGCATCTAATGAAAGAAAAACTAACGTATGATCATTAAAAAACGATTTCAGAATTTGATTTTCGTGCATTTTCAGGCACTGTGTTACGCCGCAAAAAGAAAATGCATAATTAGCAATTTAATATGGAAATCGAAATAGTTAAATGTAAATAAAATTGATAAAGAATTAAACTGAATACAAACAAATCGTTAAAAAAAAATCAAGATTTAACAGAAATATTCAAGAAACGAGTTTTTTTTAGTAATTTCATTTAGTCTTCAGCAAAAACATGAAATGCGACAGTTTTTGGTTCTCATTTAGACAGTGTTGATCAACGCTAAGAATTTGGAGTCGCGCTTTGAGGTCACGACAAATCGATCGATCTACGATAAGCGGCAAATTGTTGATCGATATAAAGAAACAGTTATGCGATGAACAGTTCGCTTTGGTACAAACGACAATAAACGACATATTTACATCCATACACACACACACGCACACGCACGCATACAGCTTGCACTTTGAGTTTTCGCTTGATTGGTCTTATTTCATTTAAGTTTTGTTTAATTTAATTAAGTGCTAAGGCGCTGCAGACAGGTCCAAAGAATGTCATCCACCCACACAGACACAGCAAGCGCTCATCGGTGCAGCACAGGCACACAGATCTACACGCACATGCATGATGCATGGCTATTTTCGACCAAAAAATTCTTGTTTCAAAAATTGTTAAAAATATTTGTATTTCTATATATTTATGTAAATTAGTTACACTGCATTTGCATTTGTATTGCATTTGTCAAGCACCGAAAAACACACACGAAAAAACACCGAACCCGAAAACCGACACCGAAGACACACACGCACACAACATTAGCGACCGAGCGACCATACGAGCCGTCCGTTTCGACGTTGCGCTTTGCACGAGAGTCAGAAATAAACTGAGAGCAATGTAAGAGCTAAGCGCACCTTGCTCAATCTCGGCGCATTGTGTGTTTACAAATTTGATGTGTGTGTGAGTGGGTGCGTCAGTGTGTGAATGCCAACGATGTGCGCGTGACAATAACATTCATATTAGTCGTGCATCACGAACTCTATTTTCAAGCCATTTATTTGTATATTTGCGTTTAGATATTCTTATAACTAACTTGTTTTATATTGCTTTGTAGTTCGTTTTCTTTTTGGGCTCTCTCAAGTTGGACTTAAGCATACTCAACGCGAACTCTCGCTTCGCTTGCCCACGAAAAACTCACGCGACTAATGTGTGCACATCTCTATTGAAATGCGCTCTTTTAAATGGAGCCGTTTCAACTCTCTTAAAACTTTAAGCTGGCTGTTAAATTGTAATGTTAAGTAACAGCGTGATGGGTTTCGGCTTCTAAGAGCGAATTTTAAAAAACAGAAAATTAATGTCGAGTTTTAAAGTTAGCTAACTTAAGTTACTTTGCCTTAATAATAATTAATATTGTTGAATGGCTAGCAGCCATATTGTTCTCTACGTCTCTCTTTAGCTGCTATTTAAGAGCATCAGCGGAGTTCGCTGTCTAACTTACGGCTCCCTCTCTCTCCCTATCTTTCTCTTATGTAAAGAGTAACTTGGCACATGGCCAAAAGTGCATTGATTGGCATTTGGAACGGGTCTGCTGAGGGCCGGCGCCGGCGTCTGGCTGCTGTGGTCGACCGGCCGCCCAACCATTGCAACAGCTGTTGTTGCCGCATTGCCACGCTATGCTCCATGCCACACGCCACACGCCACACGCCCCAAGCCCCAACCCCGCAAATCTGTCCTGCTCAACAACTACGTAAATCTTTATTGATTGCATGTTGCAAGAGACGCCAAAAAGAACATAAACGCTAATCGTCTTTCGAGTGACTTTGCTGTCTGACTAAACAATTATTTTAGCCGTCCGCAACTGACTGCAGACAAATGCAAGTCGGCACAGATACATTAAGTATACGTACATAGACAAAGTATTTACTCAAGGAACTCTAAAACTCCACATTACATATAAATCTTGCTCCCTTTTTTGGGGTTGATGCGAACGTATTTGTATTTGTGTTTGCATTTGTATTTGCCTTTATATTAGAAGTCAACCCACTGCGCACACAGAACCGCCCCAAATAAGAATTCGCCTAGCCGCTAGCCGGGGAAGCCCTCTCTTCAGCCAGGCACTTCAAATGATTTCCATGGCACTCAGGAAGTCGCCTCTTCCGGCCAAAAAAAAATATGAAGTAGGGAACCGAAGCCTCTCCCATTTTCATTTGCCGACACTTTTTGTTGATTTTCTTTATGTTTCGCTCATTTGCTGCAGCGCATATATGTATGTCTATTCATATATATAAATACATATATATATATATTTCCATGTTTATATTGCCGGCATTGTTTGGGCCAGTCTGGAGTATTTGTCGCAGTCGGGAATTGGCAAAGCACCAGCTGCAATTACACTTACCAAGCATGCCCAACACAATTGACTCAAAAAACATTCCATTTTTTAAATCACACACAAAGGATTATCCCTCACACACACACACATACGCACACACGCACTCGACTGCCTCGAACGCACCCTTCGGCCATTAGGAAGCCCCAACAATGAAGGTTAAACTTACGCTAAATAGCTGTCGTCGCCAGCCACACTCCCGAGAGCCACTTCTAATCCTTCCTTCTGCTTTACTGGCGAAGCACTTCAACAACCGCTTCTAATACCGCATGCTGGGGAACGTGCAAAATCAATAGCGGAAAAAAATCATAATTAACTTAAGAAAGCCGAACTGAAAATGCCCTTGGGGAGTGCATTTTGAGAGCTGTATAAAAAAATGCAAAACTCAACAATTTCAGTATTTTATCAATGTAAAAAAAAAATAAAAATAAAAATTATTTGACCTATCATACCTTTCTCAGTTTGAATTATAATAACATATTCGAAATTTAAACTTTAATATATCTTTTAGACTGTTTTCCTTCATTTTTATCGCTGTTTTCCGTCTAGCCCATTCGGCTTTAATCCACTTCAAGAATGGTCCGAAAAATTTCCAGACTTTCCTTATATGCTGTACAGCCATACTATATTTTACTCACATAAATGAAATCACTCCTTGGTGGACTCCGACTATTGACGTGATTCATATATATATACATATGTATATATGGCGGCTTAAAGCTATCACGTGCCCATACCAAAAATGCCGGCTTCAGTTAAGTGCACAATTGGCATACCCCAAAGGAGCTGCACATACATATATTTACTTCTTTACACATATTGTTATATAGTATATTAAATAATTACCACAAGCTAATTAGCATTATTAGTCATATAAGTGTATGTGTGTGGACGTGTATGTGTGTGAGTGTGGCTTTAAGATTACTTTGCATAATAATGAAAAAAATATACAATTGGCTTTCAGTTATTTTTGTTCTTATATAACAAGCAATAATATATCAACTAATTTACAAGCACACATACAGACACACACACACATACTTCCATACATATATAGTTCACACAGAATTGGCATTAGAAAATAATTAACATTAGAAAACACTTCTTTTTTTTTTTCTTTTGTCAAGCATAGAAACAGACGCTCCTCGAATATCCATCAACAATTCACATATATCAGTATAAGTATATTGTATATATACTATATGTAAGACATTACATGATCTGACTGATCTTAGATAGCGATATAGTTTAAATATATAAATAAGCGTTAATGCTATTTCAATTAATCCGTACAAAATACATATACATTTGTCATAAATACAATTAAATACACACAGAGGGGGATAAACAAAACAAGTACACAAAAGTAAAACAAGAGATTTTCACGCAGCTTTTTTTTAGCCTTCTTTACATTTACCGTTTGCCCACCCACGTTCCCTTTCCCGATTCTGTTTCCCACCGTTTGCCTTCCAGCGACTAATTGACATATCGACGGCGCCTCGATTAATCCGCAATGGCCGTGTACGGCAGACTGCTGTGTTTGGGCTTTGTTTTATTGATGAACACCTTGATGGCGCCATTGAAATCGGCACTGACCAGCACATAGCCACAGCCCTTCTTGTGCTGCTCCACCAGCGGATCTGGCTGATTGTTTGCCAGCTGCATAGAACGGCAGAAACATGAAAAAGTTATTAGTCTATAACAATTGAACACAGTCAAACAAAGGTGTTTCAACTCTGTGAGCTGTGTAAAGCGGGTTTTATGGTGTTCAGCATGGTGATTCACGACTGAAGCAAGGGAATGAATGATTAAAGCATGGAATACCCTATTGAAATTATTATAATCTAGATATGTGGGTTCAGCAAAAGCAAATCTATATATGTATCTAAATCTACTATTATCCATCAGTCATAAGTAAAACCTCACCTTATCATTGGAAATTTCATCGGGGTCCGGTTTGATAATCGCCTCCGGATGTGGCGCGAATATGGCACAGGTGACAGTAGCATTGTGTGCTTTAATGCCCTCCCAGAAATCGCTACGATCGCGACGAACCTTTAAGGGAAAACAAAAATAGATGATGCTAAGCCGAGGGAAATCAATCGCTATTTAGCTTACCGAGCTCAGCTTGGAGTAGTCGTGATTCGTTTTCCATATGTAGATGCATTGGTTCTCAGAACCGGCAATTATATATTTACCATCGTGGCTAAACGAACCCTTGATCTGCGATGACACATTTAGATAGCCCTTGTACTTGCATGACAAATTCAGATCGCGCAGATCATAGAGACGCACACGGCTGTCGTTGGAGGTGACCAGAATCTTATCCTCGCCCGGCATGGGCTCTATGCCGCTGATCTTGCGACCAATTCGATTTTTTCCGCGTGTGGATCGCACATGGATCTGCGTGTGGTACTTTAGCTGGTCCGTGTTGTAGAAGATGCAACGACCATCATAGCTGCCAACCACAGCGAATTGTCCGTTCTGACAGAAATTGGCCGCCGTGATAAGCTTCGTCTGGCCATCGACCTCGTTCCAGAGCGCCACCTTCTTATCAGGTATGTTCCACAAGCGCAGCTTTCCATCCAGGCTGCCACTCAGGAAGTAACGATCATCGCGCGGATGAAACGCGATCGCCGTGACGAAGTCAATGTGCTGGAAGCAGCACAGACACTCCTTCCGGGAGATATGCCAGAGGCGTACAGTCTTGTCCATGCTGCTGGATAGTATAAAGTAGTTCTTCGACCAGCTAACGTCGAGCAAATCCGAGGTGTGGCCATTATACGTGCAGAAGGGCTTCGGCATGAACGGACCCGTGCACTTCTCGGCGGCGGTAGCCATGGCAATGGCCTCCTCAGCAGAATGCTGGGACACCAGCGACTCCTGCGATGGCGTTGGCGAGGACTTCTGATCCGCGTTGTATTTGTTGCGCATGTCCTGCAAATTAATTGCTCCGTTAGCAAGGAAGATAATCCCAAAGTACGCGCCACAACTCACCTGGAAGTAGGGATACGCATCTTTCAGCACCCAAATGCGTAGCACTTTGTCCTGGCCAGCGGTGGCCAACAGACGTCCACAGGAGCTGAATTTCATGCACCACACGGCGCTGGTATCCTCTCCGCTGAGATCTTGCACATGCTGCAGTTTGGTGAACTCGTAAGGACCTTTGTTGGAGGATGATGCCTTGATTTTGATATTTTGCTCGGGATTCATGGCATCCACGATGTCAGCCACGTCTTCCTTGTGGCGAGCATGTGACACCTCTGACGCAATGGACTTGGCCTTGTCCACCGTCTTACGCATGGTGCTGCCAAAGAAGCGCTTAATGCGCGCAGTTTTCTTCTTGAGGCGACTGCCATCCTCCGTTTCCAGCTCCTCCTCATCCGGCTGCTGACCCTCAATGCTCGGCGGTATGCCAATTACGCTTTCCTCATCCGATTCCTTTTGTATGACCTCCAGATGGGATGTCAACTTCAGTATATGCAGCGAGAGCGGATTCCAGCCCTCAGGCACTGGCGGTGAACGCACTTCGGATAGCGGCATATTCTCGCCAGTATCCAGATTCTTAACAGGAACTTGCTCGAGTATTTCAAAGTCCGTCAGCTGTTTGCCCGAATTGGTGCGCGTGCGCACATAAATATTCATCTGCCTCAGCACATCCTCATCTCCAGCGGACTTGCGACGCTCCTTCTCGTTGGCAGCCCTATATAAGGCCGTATAGCTGTGAAGCGAAACAGAAACATAAGTGAAAACTTTTGAAATTACATTAAAGGCAATTTTCGAAACGAACTTTAGCGATAGGTGACTAGCAATATGCGCTATCTATACAATTTATACGATATTTAAGATATGTTCAACTAACTTCAGGCACATCCTCCATGTCTTGTACATTAGGTATAGTTCGATCGGATTGCTGCGAAAAAAGCTTGAAATATGTACAATCAATTTCACTTAACTAAAACTAAAGTTCATTTGATATGCCTTGACTATAGTCTAGGAATGGACGAAACGTTATTATAAAGCTATATCTACTTTAAGATTGAGTATGGAAGATTATTGTCTAACTTGTAGTCTACCTATTTAATACTCCGTTAATTGGTTCTGTTCTCGCTTATATCCCGTCATATACAGCTGTAATACACTCCTAAATCCTTATCGCCCTTTCCCTAACTCTCTATATAAATATTTGCTCAAGCCTACCGTGTGGCACTGCCCAAGCTATTGGAGCCACTGCCCGCGAGCTTGGGTCGACTAGCGTTCTCCATGAGCATTTTCTCAATGCGCTCAATTTCATCCTGAGATGGTCCTTGCGCCTTGTTACTCGCTTCGTCGCGCGGCTTAACCACGTAGCCGCCTTGTATGGCCTTGAACAGATTAAGACCCTGATTTGGATCAATCGAGCTGTCAAGAAAAAAAAAAACTATTAGCCATAGTAATATATAGTTATATGCATTCCCATCTCACCTGACGCGGCCAGGCGCAGAGTTGCTCTTGGCCGAGTTCGAGGGACTTGGTTTCGAATAGACGGACGTGACACTGTTGCCCAACGACTGCGATGGTTTCATCATGATGCCCGCCGTAGAAACGGGCCGTACATGACACGCATGACTCGTGGAGGCGATTTGCGCCAACGACGAAGGCGTCGTGGTGGCCGTGGAAGCGGAGGCAGACACTATTGTGCTGGTGGAGGAGCAGGTGAGCGTGTTGCTGGACGTCATGATGCTGACATCATTTAGCGAACTTTCGAACTGCTTGACAATGTCGTCACGTAGCTGTTGCTGCACATCTCGCACGCTCTGCACGGACCGCGTATCGCTGTCGGTGTCCTCCGTATCACCTGCTGGTAATCGCATGCCATCATTCATGTTGAACTGCTCCGAGGAGCTGCTGGAGAACTTTCGTGATTTTTTCTTACGTCGCGGCGGCGCAACCGGCCCGCTAGATGTTATGGAGTCGGTGGTCTTGGAGTGAGCCAATTTGGTGCTGGCTATCACATCCGGTTCTTGGAGAATCTGTGGTGGAATTGCAGCAACTGCCGCTTCACTCTGCTGCACACACTTTGTAGATGTGGCTGATGCCGCATTGACAACTGTTGTGGCGGTGGACATGGCCATTGTTGTGGTTGTGGGCGGTGGTGTCTGTCGCAGCTGTTGTTGTTGTTGTTGCTGCTGTGTCTGTTGTTGTTGTTGATGTTGTTGCTGCTGCTGCTGCTGTTGGTGTTGCTGGTGCTGCAGCTGCTGCTGCTGCTGCTGTTGTTGCTGTTGCTGCTGTTGCTGGGCATTCATTGAGGCCAGCGATTCACGATCAACGCTGATTGCTGTGTGAGAACAAATAATTGTGTGTGAGTGAGTGAATGTGAAACGATTGCTATATGCGTGCTCACCCGACGGATCGATGCTGCCGGCTAAGATGCGACCCACACGGCCCAATGATGTCATGCTCTGTATGCTCATCGTATCGCTCTCAATGACCTTAAACGGATGTGTGGGTCGGTTGGTAAAAACGCCATCCATGGAGCTGTTCTGTGGTTTGGATCAAATAACAATAAAGTTAGCCAAGCATTACAAAAAAAAAAATAAAAATAAACAAAGCAAAACAAAAGCAAAGAATAGTATAAAAAAATGCTTAAGCTTAAGCATTATATATATATACGGCTAAAGCTAATGGCTACAATTTTGATTTTGATAAATAGATATAATACCTGAGAATCAGGTGTGAGTGTATTTCCTGGATTATCATCTTCATCATGGTTCATGCATTTACGTAGTTCTTGAAAGCGTTGTCTACCAGACTATATGGCACGATATACATATACATATATATATTTATATATATATATATTTCATTGGATTTTTTTTTATTGAATATATACAACATAGTTATGATAATTTAATTTTATGTTCATATTTTTAATTAATGTTTTATTTTGTTTTTGTTTGTTTATACCAAATGCGCACAAAATATGAAAATAAAAAGCAAATTACAAATAAATTAACAATGATGTAAAGTAAATGGTAAAATAAGTAAACAAAAAACCTAATTTATTTATTTAAGCTACGCAATGAGTCTAGATCCGCCTGAAACTGGGCCAACACAAATTACGTATATTTGTTATTATCAAGCTCAACATTTACGGAACACTCGACGCTATTTGATAAGAGTGGTTACCTTACGGCCTCCCTTCCAACTCCCCATAATAGACAACTCTGACTATTATAATATATTGCGAGTAACATATGAATGAAAACGTGCTGCGGCGTGTTACACCTGCTTTATGGGCCAAACCCTGACCGAAAACAAATATCAATTGTTACGTAAAAAAATTGAAAAAAAAAAAAAAATGATAAATAATATACACCTGATAATAGCACGAAGCGACAATTATTATCAGTGTTAATTCTGATAAGGGAAAACTTTGATAATTATTTCGTTAATCAGAGCGCGGGGAAACAGTAAAATCATTTAGTTATGTTAATTTTATAAATAGTTAACAAAGGCCTGGGAACAAATTAAATTCATTTACATGATGCCAACAAAAATTGGTCGAAATACAAAAACAAGTCAACAAGTGGCATATAAAAAAAAAATATTTTATGAAATCAACAAAGTGCCTTAATAGATGGCTCAATTTATACATACATATATATACATATATATCTATATACATATATATACGAGATGCGCTACAAGAAGAGCTATAAATAGCTATTAAAATGTGATTGATGAGAAATGAAAGTTTTCACTGTATGGCCAATAAAATATTGCTTAAATATGCACAATCATATTAAACAGGCAAAAAAAAAAAGAGAATAGGAAACTCTCGCTTGTTGGCATAGCTATACTAAACCCATTAAGTAGCCCTCGTTGTATTTATATGCACCTGTCGGACCGGCCGCCTGATGACAAGCTGCGGCAAATCTCTGACAAAGCTACCCAACACACAGGGGCGCAAACGTGAATTATAAAAACAAACACCACGCAAATGGGTTGCTTGAGTAATAGAGAGAAAACCATATGAACAGACAAACCACATGGATGGAAACTGGGGAAGAGGGGGCCAGGCAGAAGAAGGGCTAAATTAATTTGTTTTGTTTTATTTTTTGGGGGAAGCGCAGTGAAATCGGCACATTTAAATTTGCATTGATTTTGTTTTTAATTCTTTTTTGTTTTTGCTTTGCGCACAGTGGGCAACAGAGCAGAAAGGGAAAACGCAAGACGTGTTGAGAATTTGTAATGGGATCGAGCGATTGGCTCTAAAGAGGAATGGGTATGACAACTGAACAGCTAACAAAACATTTGGTATCATTAAGGCATGCACTCAAATCAGAGCAAAAAGCAATTTATGCCGCCCACTCGCAGCACTTACCACGCCCTTCACTGGCTTGGGCTCGACGAAAATGCCCGCCGCGGCCGCTGCAGCGGCTGCCGCCGCATCCTGTTGCTTGAGCCGAGCGCCCAGGCTATTTGTCGGGCTGCGGGTGGCGGGCGTGTTGGCGCCAATGGGCGTTGCATCGCTGTCCGAAGAGGCAGCCGCATTTACACGCACCGCTGGCTCTGGAAAGATGAACTCCTGTGCGCAATCCGCTGGCAATTTACGACTGCAACAACACGAAAGAGCGAAAGAGTAATACACACGTCAATAGGGTGAGTCACTGCATGAGTTGGTGGGTCTGAGCGGGGGCTCCACTTACCAGAGTGTTGCGGAGCGATTAGGTGTTGTGTCTTCGGCATCGAAAAATTCCTCAGAGCTGTCTGAGTCCGTTTCCAGTTTACTCATTTTATATGGGCTGTGCGTGAATTACCTAATTCGCTTTCTGTTTCGTGTATTATTTTAATATGCAAATTGACCAAATTATGTTTTCTCTGTGTTGTTGTTGCTGTTTGTGTATTGTTGCTGCAGGGCCGTTGTTGTTGTTGTTGCTACTGCTGCTGCTGCTGCTGGTGGTGTGTCGGCTCCTAGTTTTGCGTCATTTCCTGGTGCTGCGAGAACGCAACAATCTCTCTATTTAACATATTGCACACCTTCCTAACTAATGTGTTTTTACTACAAATTTAATTATTATTAATTTAGTTATACGCCCGAGAAAAGGTCTGTTCTGTTGCATTGACTATTGAAATGTGTTGGGCAACGCACCAAACACCACCGATTGCAGTGCTGCCAATCTATCGGTTAAGCCTATCGAAATGTCGCTGTGAATGACAATTACAGCTGGTAAAAGATACATGTTATCGGTTTCCCGCCAAAATACCATTCAGTAAAAGGTTGTTTACTAACCGTAGCTAAATTGTTGTTTACAAATTGGAAAGACGCGAACTAAATGGAAGCCGAACTGCAACAGCAATTTGATGAAATGGGCATAGAGCCCAGTGCCCCAGTCTTGGAGAAATGCATGGAACTCGCTCTCACCTACAGCATTAACGATGCTACAGAATTCGTGGAGCAATGGATGGCGTTCAGTTTGTCCCACCTTAATGGAGATGAACCGACGAACGAAAATCTTGGCGAGTTCGAACGTAAGGTGCTTCAAGTGAAGCGTGAAAAAGTCGGCAACAAGAAGACAACACACTACACCAAATCCCAGCCTGCTGCGTTGGAAGCCAGCTCTCTAGCCACCTACGGCTTGATAGAAGATGATCCCATGATGGACGAGTATGTGGGAAAATCTGGCTCCCCACAGCCGAAAACTCCAAAAGCGCTAAATAAGCAGAGTCGGTTGAAGAGTGGTGCAGCCTTCAGCCCGGCCAGCTTTACGCCACAATCTGCAAAGAGAACTCCAGCTGCAGATATAACAACGACGAATGGCAAACCTGGTGATATTGTGGACTCCTTTGGTCATCCCAAGCTTATAGCCGCCTGCACGTGGCAGTCAAAGATCGAGCAAACGCTACCCGTAGTCCAGAAATTGCTTCACAATGATGCACCATTGACGATCTCTAATCTGAGGTACATGAACGACCTGCTCTATGACAGATGCGATGAACTGCACGATCGTATCGTCGATATTGGCCAGGCCTTGGTGGAGAAAAAGCTGGGCAGCACTGGTGCCGCCGAGTGCAGCTGGTATCCGCAGGATAGACACACGCTGGACGCACTCCACGTACTCCATGCCGTGGGCATGATACATTCCGACGATGACGGGCCACTGGATGCGCACTCCGCTTTGCTAGCCGTGCTCAATACGGACGAGAAGTGTCTGGCCCTCAACTTTTCGCAAATCAAGTCGGCTAGCATATTCCCCGGCCAGGTGGTGCTAGCCAAAGGATTTATACCACGTGGTGACACTTTTGTGGTGGAAGAGATCTACACAGATCGAAAACTGACGCCGCCACCGCCACTGAAAGTGGATCGCGATGTGCACTTTGTGGTTGCTGCTGGACCGTATACCCACAGCACGGATCTGTTCTACGACCCGATGCACCAGCTGCTCAAGTATCTCCAGGAGCACAGACCCGACGTGCTGCTGCTGACGGGTCCCTTCCTAGATGCCGAGCACAAGCTGGTCGTCGAGCTGGCCGAGACCTTCGAGTCGTTCTTTGAGAAGATGATTGCGGGCATCATGGAGGCAGTGGGCACCAGCACCACAGTGCTGCTGGTCAGCAGCCAGAAGGATGCAATGACTCCAGCGGTTTATCCCACACCCTCGCCATTGATACGCAAAACATATCCCAATTTGCATATGCTACCCGATCCCTCGCTGGTCGATCTGGATGGCATCACGCTGGGCGTCAGCTCCACGGACGTGATAGACCATCTGCTAAGCCAAGAGTTTGCCGCCAACGCAGGCGAGCGCATGCATCGCGCCATCAATCATCTGTTCAATCAGGGCACCTTCTATCCGATCTGCCCGCCGGCCGATGAGAACATGTCCTACGACTCGCAGCTGGCCCAGAAATATGCACAGCTCAAGCAGTTGCCCAACGTGCTCATCCTGCCCAGTGATCAACGGCATTTCATACGACTGGTCAATGATTGTCTGGTCATCAATCCAGGACGCTTGGCCGACAATAAAGGCGGCACCTTTGCCCGTTTCCTGGTCACGCCCACTGCGCCCACGGCCACATCCAATGCGAATATGTTTAACAGTGTCGCGTGTCAAATTCAGAGCATTTAAAGTTAATAAAATTCGAACTTTACAAAACATTTATGATTCATTGTAGTTGAGGGTATTACAATAGGATGGTATATATGTAATCCTCTTCAGACTAAGCCTGACTTCTGTCCATATTCGACTTTGTTTTTGTCTTTTTTTTAAAGCGTTTATTCATTTAGGTTTTTTCGTTTACAGCTAACAGTAGGAAATGATATCTAAACATATTACATATAATCGTATTGTACTTTCTATACTCTAGAAATCAAGTGTTTGTGTACGTGTGTATTTGTGTGTGTGTGTGTGTGTGTGTGTGTGTGGGTGTGTATTGATTCCACTATATCGAACTCAATTCGAAGCATAGCGAAATGCTCTGGCATACAACTAAAAACTTTATTGTATATTTTTACTATACAAAAAATACTGCTGAAATCGTTTACAATATGATCTAAGCAAAACTGACCGATTCCTCTCAGTTGCTGTTTGCAGATATATAATTCCTGTTTCATTTTTTTTTTTTTTTTTTTTTTTTTTTTTTTTTTTTTTTTTTGTTTTTTGTTGTTTTTTTTTTTATGTGTGTGCTTTCATATTTTTAAGTAACTTTGCGCCACATTTGATTTAAGTAAATTCTGGCTGTTGCCCTTGTTCTTGGATTCGTGGAGCTGACAACTACGACCGCCACGACGATCGTCCAACAACTCCCGCGAATCGGGTTTTAGTTGTTGGGCTCCTGCTTGTATTGTTATTGCCGATTGTTGACGCCCTCAGGATTGTGCAGACTGACGCCGGGCACACTGCCCATGCTGTGCTCCATGTTTTTAACAACCACATAGTTTGTCATGTGACTGATGGCCTCGTCCTGCAGCCGTTCCGGCCAACGGCGCATATAGGACTTAATGAAGTCGGCGAACGCGTCCACCTTATCGGGCGTTGTCTTGTGTGTGTCCACGATGTTTTTTACAATGTCCACGAATTTGTCATAATCTTCGTGGGACTTTTTGATTTTATTATAGTTGGGCACGCCGCCATTGGTATTGCCACCTGGACCGGTGCCACTGGCGCCGGCGGTATTCTGCATCTGCTGCTCCATATTGCTGTCGGCGAGCCGCGCCGAGGCAGCCGCCGCCACAGCTGCCACCGCCGCCGATGAGGCCATAAAATTATCCACATTGCCCGCATTCGGCGGCGGCTGGGAGTGGTCCATAAAGTGGCGATGCATGCCATACTCCGTTCTGCAAGCAAACGCCAATTAATACTCTTACAATAAATATGTGCTGAGGACTAGCTTCTTACTTGTAGAACCCCTCCGTATTGTTGCTATTGAACTCTTGCTGAGACATTGGATTTTTCCAAACTGGTGACTCGGATGTCGATGGTAAGCTGCTGGCATTCGAGGAGCTCGTCATGCGTTTGTCTCTGCGGATAGATTTGAATTAGCCAAGTGGCATATTGATTGTCTTTGGCTGTGGCACTCACTTGTAACCCGTGTGTGCAGCCAAACTCTTGAAAACATCATCCACTTGGCTGTAGAACTTCCACGTGCTAATAATGCCCGTTGTCTCAAATGTCTTTTGCTCCTGTCTGTAACGCTGTGTTAGATTATTGACCTTAAAGTGTACTTCTAGCGCGGTAACGGGTACGCCAAGACCCGTTAGCTGTAAAAATACGAATAGGGGAGGAATAGACATTAACAAAGGAACTAATGCATACAACATAGAAGCAGATAATTGTATAATTGTAGTAAATTTGTCCATTACTCACTTGCTTTGCCATAGCCACATAAAGGTGTCCATTTCGTTTGATTGTGCGCAATTCATAGGCGCAAACTTTCCATAGTTTAATTAGCTCTAATACTCCACTATCCTCCCATTGTCGGCGCTTTTTGTTGAATTTTTCATACTAGCCAGAGAGAGTTGAGTCAGGATTAAATATAATCTGAATCTACACATTTAGCATACTCACAGGCATTTCACATGGGTCTCACTCGCCACAAACAGTTGCCCAACAAAATTTGGCTGCGAATCGGAGCTGGACATGGAGCACGCTAATCAATATGGAAACATAATTGCACCTCAGAACCGCACCTGAAATATTCAAATCCATTAATATGGATTGACATTTATTTATAAAGTGCATCATTAGATTTATATCATAGTGCTATGCATCTTAAGTTCATTTATTTCGGGGGGTTTATGGAAATGTAACTAATAAGTCTCTTATTCATTTTCAAATTACTTATTTCTCGGTTTTTGATACAGTTCTTCCATCATGTATTTCTTCAGTTATTAAAATTTCGAGAAATCAACATTTTTTATTCATAATTTATTCTCATTATTTACAAATATTTGCATGCAAATATTTAAGCTCGTAATATTTAATTTATTGACAGGATTTGCATATTTTAAAAGCAGTGAATCACATTTTGAGTCGAATCTATTTTGTCCAATGATATTCAAACCAGAGGGTAGTAAAAATGATTTGCCTTTGGCCTTAATGAGGAAACGTAGTCTCTAAAGTATTTGCACCCGTGCTTCTGTTAACATATGTTTACTTTAAGCGCTCGCACCTGATAGCACACAATTATTTTTATTGATAAATGATTAAGAATGGTTTTACATTTTGCCCGACTGCAAATAATGCATTTTATACTATGTATATGTAACTATGAAGCTAAGCAAGCGGTTAATATAATTTCATGGAATAATTGACGGCACCTGTTTGAGTGATAATGATTATGGCTCTAATAATGTATTTTAAATAATTATGTTTATATAGTTTTTGGCACATGAAAACACAAAAATCTGGCAGCTCTCCACATTTGTGCACACACACATGCATAAACACTCACGCATGTGTTGCACATAATTAAGAGTATTAGATTATCATTAAGCTGTACACCGGCACATAATCACACACTCACACACACTCACATGCTAAGCTTAAGCTGGTAAACAAAAGATGAAGCGCAAGGTGTTAATGCACGCGTAGCGGGCACGAGACAACAAATAAGTAGAAGCTAACGCGACGGCAACTCAAATTGTACTGAAGCGGTATTTCAAGTATACAAAAGCTGCGGCCAAATGAAGATGCTACAGCAACAGCAGCGACAACAACAACAGCAGCGGCAGCAAGAATGACGACGTTGTCGACGTTGCCGCTACATTGGCACTTGCTGGGCCGCAGTTGATGGGGCCAACAGCAGCAGCAGCTGAAACAACAACAACAACAATACGAATATTTTGTTGTTGCCCGTTGGGGCAAGAGATGGTTACTTTTCTTGAATACACACACGCGTACAACTACAACCGTTTTTTCCCTTTGCAAAGAATGAAGATACAGATACACACACACACACGCACAGGTACATACTTTTCCTTCGATTACGGCAATCGTAAGTTCAATGCTCATGAGCCGAGCATGAGCAGCAGCTGGTCGCGCAAACAGTGTTACAAATACAACAAGCACAACACACCAAATCCAAAACTTAATAATAAGTTAAATAATTTAATTTTAATTATGTTCAAGAACACACACACGAAAAACGTAGTTAGCAGTTCAGCTCGAGATATTTACCAACACTAATGATGGCAAGACACAACACGGCCATAATGATGTTCTACAAGCGAGACAGCAATAGCGCGCGCAACATGGTGTGAGCAGTGCAGCTAGTATGACAAGAAACTGCGCGGCGTTGCCACCCCGATTGTGTTTTGTGCAAAATATTCAAAATAACGTTTGTGTGCATGTGCATGCTGAAATGTGCCAAGTTTAATTTCAATGACGAACACAATATGCCAATCAACCTAGTACGCTGTTATCATATGTACGTATATAGAACAGCTACGCCCACAGCAAACTCAATGAGTAATGATTTTTGCGATGCGCTCTAGCTTGATTCCAGTCATGAGCATGACCACGTAATTTATCTTAAGCGCGCCAGTCTGCGGCAGCAATAGCTACAGCGGCAGCTCGTTAAGGCGAGCAAAGCAAACGCATTATCATCATCATCAACTGCGACTGTGGCAACCTTTTGTGTACTCCCCCTCCCAGGCACTAACACTATGATGGGCAACTGCTATTGTTGGCGCGCATACAAGCACACACACACACACGCACATTCGTATGCGACGTACGGCAGTCATCATCATTAGGTTGGATGCCGTGCCGCTCCCCTGACTGCCTGCCTGCCTAGCACATATACTAAATGCGAACGTCATTAGCGTCGGCTAAATAACAAAAAATGATAATGTTGCTCTTTCGTTTAGTTGTCCTCGTCATCAGTGTTGGTAATCATCATTAGATTGCACATAGAATGAACTTTAGCCGCGTAGTACGCTTACCACAACAGGCAACTGGTGGATGAGCCATTGACATAGTATTTTGAATGGCAACTCAGCACAAAAACAAAGAGCTGTCAATGGTTCTGTTCATGATGCGAGCGAACGATTTCGTTCGTCAGCGGAGTTCGTCATCAATGAATCTAATGGATTGGATAAAGTTGTAATTACAACAATTAATTTGATTAGGGTTTCATTATTTTAGAAATTTAAGAAATAATATATTTAATGCAAAAAATATAACATGAATGTATCTAAACACTACAATGTATACTTAGCCAAAATGTCACCCAGAAATAACTGCCGAGCTAGAACCCAGCCTGCATTACGTGCTTCCAGTTACTCGGCAGAGAGGCTAAAGGGTGATCCTGGAATGTGTTGCTCACCCCACTTGACCACCAGAGTGTAGTCGCCCGGCTCCCTCACCTGGTACGCGACACGGTATACATGCCGCCCCAGATGCTTGACCAGCACCTCATCACATGGTCCCTGCGGTCCCAGTATGCCCACAAAGAGCATATTACTGCCGGCAGAGCTGGCATCCACCGTGAACTCGTTCCGCTCGAGCAGATTGACATGGGTCAGACCCAGGCCCCGACTCTGAACTTTGCTGGCATCGGATTCGAAGTGGGGCACTGCATAGCATACATTAGAAATGTGAACACTGGAATATATGGGACACTTACTTGATGGCTTGCTGGCGGCATGTTCGTTCCCATCCTCAATTGGTGTCGCCGCTCCAGCTATGGTGACTATAATGTAGGGCGACTTGGGCAGCGGCACGGAATTGCACTTGATGTGCACCTTATAGAGGCCCGCCTGCGTCAGCTGGCATTCCACCTGAAAGCGTTCCGGATCCAGCTGCGTCAGCTGCAGTGGCGCTCCGTGCTGTCCGCTGGGTGTCTCGAGGCGCACATCGAAGTTGCCCTTCACCCCATTGCGCTTGATGACGAAGCTAATCGTGGAATTGACGCGCACCGCGCCGCTGGGCAAATGCAGCAACTGCACCTTGCCCGCGTCGGTCAGCTCGGGCGCTACATAGACATGCGGCGGCTCTGTTGGATACGCATCTGTGGTGGATTTATAAATAGCGATACGTATGTATATGTTTACTTCCGCATGTGCAACACTCACCCGCATCGGGCGTGCGCTGGTATCGACCGAAAATACAACAACTCTCCGTACTGCTGCTGACATCGCCGACATCGGCCAGCCCCTGGGGCTGCCCCGCGGCGCCCGCTGCGCTCGTATTCAAGCGAATCTCCTGCGACACTCGGAACATGCCGCCAAACACGCTCGCAAGAATTTACACGATGCGATTCCAACTAATCTAGCAAATTGCCTTTTCAATAAACTCTGTAAATTCTTCCTCTTTTTCTCCAATTTACGAGCGCTCCCTGACGTGGCGTTGTCTGCGCCGCTGCTATTCCTTGGCCAGACTGAAGATCTGCTGCTGTGCAGTGCCTTCCTCTCTCTCTCTCTCTCTCTCTCTCTCTCGCTCTCTCTCTCTTAAACACTCGAAAATGCTCTTGAGAATTTCTCAATATTTTCCATTCACAGCTATAGAAACACGCGCCAAAATGCAAATCTGAATGATGTTTCTTCGTTTCTCAGTTTGATCCGAGATGGCATTTTGCCAAGCGAAAGCATATGAAATATATAGAAATGCGATCTACAATTTATTTATTTTAATTTGCGTAGTGCGTCCAATAGGTAGACGAAAGATTCGCGAGACTATGTTTTATTTTTCTTTTCTTACATATATATTCATATCAAATACAAAATATGTTATTTTAGGCTCAATTCGTTTTCTAGTCTGGAATGAATTGTAAATAAAGAAAAATTGGACTATTTACTTTTATAATGCACAAGCTAGGGAAAGTCTAGAAAAACAATATGTTATATCAACAAAGTTCTCAATTATTCTACTTAGGGTCATTAAGTAGATAAAATGTTAATAACAGTCTATTATATTTATATTTTTACTATTTCTATTTTTAGTGTCTTATATAGAATAAATAAATAAAATATAAGATAATATATTCAATTTTCGAATTTCGAAATACAAAATATCACTGAAGGCCGAGTTCTAACATTTCATACATTTTACATTCCTATTGTTACATTAATTTACAGGTTTATATTGTCTTTTCTTAAGGTACATTTGTAGATCTATTTATTTTGTTCATGACCCTCAATAATGAAATGGCTCGCACACAAACAAATTTAGTTAAATAAAAACGTAAAATTTTTAATAATTATTATTTTGAATTCAATTTGTTAATTTCGGCAATACAAACATGTTTCATTGGTCTAGACCACAATTACTGCACATTACTTATACTCTAAATGTAATTTCTCCCGTACGGCCAATGCTATGCGACGCAGTTAATTAAAATTTTAAAATATTAACAAATTCATAACCAAACACCATTACAGTTGTAGACATACATACATATATATAGATAAATACATATATATACACACATATACAGATACGTATGCATGTATATTGCTTTTTTTGCTGGCAACTATTGAGTGATTTAGCCAGAGCCAGGCTCCTCTGCGACCACCAAATTGAAATAGATCCTCGATCTTGTCTGTTGATTTGAATGGGGTTTTTGATTTTATATACTATATATGGAGACTGCACCTCGCTTCTATCCCAACTGCTTCACCAGTCCTCTTCTAGGCCAATGTTCACGTAGCCCCCGTTATATCATAGCCACATTGCAAATAGTGATACAAATTTGGAAAGGTCGTGATATCTGTATTGCTCAAATGACCAAACTGGAAGAGCAATGAATATATCTAGAGTCGAAGAGAGAGGATCGTTAAAGAGAAGTTCGAAATAAGTGAGTGAAGGAAAATGGGGGAGGGAAAAGTATATCAGTCTTATCTATCGGTTAATATCTGGCTACGACTATCAGACTATATTGAAAAGGGGTAGTCAGGTAGTGGGGTACTTTCGAAAATCTATGCAGCATGCAGAAGGATATTTCGTCAAGTATTCTTCAACAGGAGTCGATATAACTAAGTGCGTCTGTCTGTCTCGTCATCTGTCCGTCCGTGGGAAGTCAGAGATCTCATAAACCAAGAGAACTAGAAACTTTAAAGGGCGATCTGTAAATGCATATTCCAATATACCATAGGTAGGAGCCCATTCCTGTCAAGATATCTCCTAATCAAGCACTCCCGACCAGAACTCCCCCACTTTCATATAGAATTGTAAAGCTTACGCTCTCTGTAATTTTTAGATTCTTTATAGCCTCGGTGCGCATCTGCTGCCAGGTATTCCGCAAGCGCTCCTCAGCCTCGGATACATAGCCGGGTGCCCAGTTCTCCTTCAGACGGAAGAGATTCAGGCGATGCTTCTCGCGCGCCAGGCGAGGCTGAATCAAACGTTTGCGCTTGCTGCGAGAATTCAGCATTTGCTCCTGTTTCGCCTTCTTTTCCTCGATCTGGAGGCGCATCTTACGTGCGAGATCCTCGCGCTTCTTGCTGGCCGCCGTCTCCTGGAAAATGGACACCAGATTGGTCTGGCCAAAGAATTTGCCGTAGTAGTTGATTCGACTGGGATCTGGTGGTGGCATGATGCGACGAAAGTTCCCCATGTGGCTCTCCTCCCAGGCAATTTGCTGAGCCAGGGAGTCGGCCTCCGGCTCTGGTGACTGCTCCTTGTTCGTCGGACTGCCTTCCTTGTTGGACAAGACCTTGGTGGCACCTGCCACAAGGCGTGAGCGTTGCACGCTGCAAAGATGGAATAAGGAGGCGGTCAGGTTTAGCCATCAAGAGATCTTGATCTGCTGTAGCATCTACTCACTCGCTCTTGGACTTGAGCAGGCGCTGCTTGACGCGTTTGCGATCCTCCCGCAAAATCTGCCTCTTATCCGCCAGCACTGTGCTGACCAGAGATAAGGTGTCCCTGATGAGTGGCCTCTTGACCTCACGATCGACCTGCTCGTTGGTGTGAAAGCTGGGCGAATGATTCACCTCCAGTATGTACGGCTTCAGCTTCCAGTCCACCAGAATGTCGAAGCCGAGTATCTCGAAGCAGGCCTGTATGGTATCGTGGCCCGGAAAGCAGGCATGGTAGTTGTGCTTAAGCACCGGCCACGCGCTCAGCACGGTCTTGATGATGACGTCGTCCACATTCGACCAGAACTCACCCACGTCATAGTTGTGCCTGGTCATCCAATTGTTAATGGCGCTCAGCTTCCGTTTGCTGCCGCAATCGTCATTGTCGCACAGATCGTACTGGGAGTTGCGTTTGTTCACCGAGTAGTTGGTCAGATGCATGTACAGATCGTGGGCATTGCCCGGAGTGGGCTCCACATATTTGTTGGTGGCAAACCGTGCCAGGCCCTCATTGTAGACGTAAAGCCGTAATGGGTCCACGGACGTAATCAGTGTGTAAACGCGCAAATCGAATTTGTAGCCATCGATGAGCAGCGGCTGGAGAGGTGACAGAGAGAGAGAGAGAGAGAGAGAGAGAGAGAGAGAGAGAGAGAGAGAGAGAGAAAGAGAGAGAGAGAGAGAGGAGAGAGTATGAGTTATAGGGGATTATAGGTGGACATTGAGTGAAAAATACATACTCGATGTATATAGGTCTGACAGATGAGGCGCTCGTTGGGACCAATGGTCTTCAGATCGTTGGTCAACCAAATGCCGCGGCCCTGAGCGCCCGAATCCGGTTTCAAAATGAACGTACGCTTGTGATTCTGAGCATAGTGCATTGCGTCGCCGTAACTGAGAAACAGAAATTAATTATGGCATAGACGAATGAAAATACCCGAGCAACTATAACTTACTCAGCGGGTAACATCCAGGTTTTTGGAAATATTTTGTAGTCGTGTGGATACAGTTTGAGCATGCGATTTAGATTACGTGAGAGCAGGTCCTTGCGACATATTTCGATCATGCCCGGAAAGTGATTGATCTGCTGAAAGCGTTTCATGTTCTTGAAGAGCTCGACGCCGGGAAACGAATCAGACCACAGTATATTCCACAATTTCGACTCCTTGACCAATTTATAACCCAAAGATTTGGAGATGCGACCGATCATCGCGTAACGCGAATTGGATACACAAATTGCGCTCTTTGAATCACTGATCGGAGTAGGGAGAATGGAATAGAAAAGTTTGCCAAGCCCATGGAATGAGGGATCTCACCTAACTTTGAGAACTTCCTCGCGTCGTGGAGAGTTATCTGTTCGGGCTGTGCAGGCCACACGAAAGCGCAAATTGTTCAGATCTATATAGCCCTCAACTGGCGCCTCGTCATTCAAGCCGATTGTCTTGACCGGCTGAAATCCTTGTCCGCCCTTCAGGCGTGGCTCTGCCGGCGCGCTTGCCTTCCTCTTACTCTGTTTGATCTTGGGCGGGGAGGGGCGGCGACGCGGCGAGCACTCCTCTTTCAGGGGGCCCGCCAGCTGGGACCATTCCAATTCAATGACTGGGGCCACGCATTTGGACTCGGACAAGGCCATTTCCACGCCACGTATGACTGGGGTGCGCAGGCCCCGTTGCTCTCGATCCTTACGTATTTTCTCTTTTGAGAAATTGCGCAGCTCCTGAATTCTTTTGTAAAACTTGGAATTTTTCAAATTCATAGTGTTTGTCAATTGGAAAAAACAAATTGAGCTATCCTGTGTTCTATTTAAAACGAAAATTATAAACAAAGTACAGTCAAATGTATTTGTTATTGACGCAAGCACAAATGACCGAATTGACGGTAGAATCAAAACACTTAGCTAACGCAGCCCCAACGGACTACGAACTACGGACTACGGACTACGGCATGTGTCTAATACTAACAAATTGACATTAAAGGCAAGGGAATATTTTGGTCTTCTAATTTCAATTGCGCCTACGATTGATCGATTTATGATTAATTCTTGAATATGATCATATGTATATGGTATTATGTCTTAACGGGTATATTTTGGACTTACCAAATTTTGATTTTTTTTTTTTCTTTTTCTTTTTTTAACTACTGCAATTTGTTTTCTAACTTCTTTTCCATTACTTTTTTCTTGTTTCTTCTATTCCTTTCTATTTTCGCTTCGCTTCTCTTTATTTCTTCAATTTACATCTAGTTTTTTTATTTTTTATTCTTTCGTTTTATCTCTTTTCTTCTTCCCCTTTCCTCTTTTCTTTAGTCCTAATCCTTATAATATATTCCCAAAATAAATCAATTTTGAAAATAAATTTTTTTATATTTTTTATTTTTAGATACTTGACTCAAAACAGCCGGACTAAAATGTGTATATAAACAGTGTGGAGCTAGTATAATGTATAAAATGTTATAGAAAAAATGTTCACATTTGTGACGTATATAAATATAATCAAGCATCTACAAAATATTTGACACTAACAATTTACCAAGTGGGATTTTAAGATTGTATTGTCGATATTTTCTTTACAATAATACCTCTTAATAATAGGTAATGTTTTAAAAGAGTATATTTGTTTCCCCTATCCGTTTAACGTTATACCACAGAAGAGTATTTTGCAGGCGCTGCTGCTCGACTATATAGTATTCCAAGGATAGAAACTTACGCAATTAACAAGCTCAATTTGGTACAAAAGTGTTTATATTGGTTAAGGTTACATGTTTTAATAATGTTTTGGTATGCATTGTTATGGGCAAAAGTTTATATACATATGTATTTACATATATCAATAATAACAGAAGTCATATAAAAGGTATAAAAATAAAATATAATAAGAATGTATATTGGAGTGCTACTTGTGAATGTTCATATTTAAGATTCAGAGCTAAAGGTCTTGAAGCATCTGACAACCTCGTCCATGGAGGGTCTGTCCTGCGGATTGGATGCAGCACACTTGAGGCCGACTTCTATGGCACACAAGCACTTGTCCAGCTCATCGCCCATGGGCGTGACCAGATGCTTGTCGAAGAGATCCAGGCGATTCTGTTGCGGCTGCAGGCATTTGGCCTTGACGTATTTGAGCAAGTTTTGTTGATCATTTTGGAGCGTGCACTCGGCCATGAGGCGGCCAGTGAACACCTCGAGCAGGACAACGCCAAAGCTATAGATGTCCACGCCAGTGCTTAGCTTCTTGGATGTGAGAAACTCGGGCGGCAAGTAGATGCGGGTGCCAAAGACCTGCCGTACTTCTATGACCGCATCGATGGACTTGGGACCCTCGCGTGCCAGGCCAAAGTCGCCAATCTTGGGCTGCAGGCACTGATCCAACAATATATTCGCGGGCTTGATGTCGCCATGGATGAGCGGCTTGCTGCGTGCCGTGTGCAAAAAGTAGATGCCTCTGTGAGGGAAATAAATATTGAGATTAATTAAGTAAACATAAAGTGAGGGTCAATCTACTTGGCTGTGCCCAGGGCTATGCAGAGGCGCTGCTGCCAGGTCAACGGCGCGAAAGGCTGCTTCGACTTGTGCACTCTGAGTCGCGAATCCAGCGATCCGCCCTTCATCAGCTGATAAACGAGGCAGGGCTTCTCCCCGTTGATGCTGTACCCATAGAGCGCTAGAATATTGTCATGTCGTATGGTATTCAGATACTTCAGCTCATTGTAGCTCTGCTGTAGGTGTACTTGGGTCTTGTCATTGTGCTTGTGGATGTAGTTCATCGCCTTAATGGCCACTTCGAGCTGTTTCCATTCGCCCTTGAAGACCTCACCGAAGCCTCCGTTGCCCAATTTGTTCTCTGGCCGCCAGTTTTCGGTGGCTATCACAAGCTCCTCATAGTCGATTTCCAACAAGGATTGAGCAGCGCGCTGCACGCTGCTCACGCGAATATCGCCCGGAGATTCGAGGCTATTGCTATTCATATTGCTGTCGTCTGTGACGCCTGACGACGAGGCATACGGTGGTCCATTATTGATCTTGGAGCTTGTGCTGGGCGGTGCACGCAGCTCACTGATTGTGGGCATGCTGCGCGGAATGTATTTATGGAATTTGTCATCAACGTGATCCTTGATAATGCGCATGGCATTGTGCAGTTTCATTCTGCAAAAGCAATTTAGATTAGTGAGAAGAGACTCAATAGCAAGGCTGATCCTTACTTGTGGAAGAGCGCAAACAGATTGTAGACCGTGTGATTGTATTGCCCGCCCCAGATGTTCAGGAACTCCATTGAGGGGGAGCGGCCGCGTGTGCTCTGGTTGCGTATGTGCTGCACATCACTGGGATACAGTTTCACAAAGGCGGCCAGCTGCTGCCACACGTCCAGAGAGTCCAAGTGCTCGCACAGCTCCTGTCGCACAGGCTCCGGCAATAGTCTTATTGGCACTGAGTTGTCCTCGCGGCCCGATCTCGTTGGGCTTTCACTGGCTCTGCCTTCCGCTGCCGCGTTCATCTTGCCACAACGACTGCACTCTGCGGTATCTTGGTTGAGTCATGCAAGTTTTTAGTCAATTTTACATATATAATCATATGTGGCTGGACAAACAGGGCAATTTTATTGATATAACTTGTTGAACTGGAAAAATCCCAACTGGAGGCATGCACAATAAAGCTGGAGTTGCCAGACTTCAACCATTTGCTGCAGATCAATGCAGTTCTCATACTCGTTACTTTTGGCAATTACTTAACGGCACAAAGTCACAGTTGCCACACCTGTCAAAGCCCACATAATAAAATTTAAAATAAAACTACAAAATATTCAATTAGATAGCATTTTTGTTGCTTTGTACAAATATTTGTTTTTATATTTCTATTACATCAGTTTTTGCATAAATAAATAGCTCAGAAGTAACAAAATTATTCGTTACCATATTAATCAATATATCGATAATCGCCGATAGACTCATATCAAAAGTAGATGAAATAGCTTTCCATTTCCTTTTAAACTCCGATTCAAATCCAGCCTAATCAAAGCCGTTAAGAACAGCATTCACTTACAGCAACGCACCCAGGACTTACATTTCAAAACAAAAAATGGACTGATCCAATTATTTGGATGTAAATATATTCAAAGCGAAACATTTGGAATTTCTTTTAGATACAAGAGTTTGCACTTCTTCAAAATTACCCCATCGTTTACAATAAGACAAATACATGAAAGACAAATAATGAAATCTGCAGTCTCTTTGCTGCGTAACAGGCTCGGATTTGCTCGTTTGCATGCAAAGGCCTCATCATTGGAGCGCTTCGGACTGGAGCATCTGAGAGGCAATCCGTTAGAGCAAATCAAATCCGCCTACAACAGCGACTTCTACATTCCAAAATGCCGCTTTATGCAATATGTACGTGCTGGCGACACCGACAAGCGCCTCGGCATGGTGTCCGAAAATGGCTCCAAAATGATTGAATTGTCCGGCAAAACGTGTGCCGCGCCAGACATGCTCAGCTTTATACACCAGAAATATTGTATGAAAAGTCTGATGGAAAGTGCCAAATATATGGATGTCGAGGATGTCAAGCCCGACCTGCGCCTCCTGCCGCCCATTGATTCGCCAGGTAAAATAATTGGCGTCGGTTGCAACTACTATGACAGCTGCAACGAGCGCAACATTAAAGTGCCCAAGACACCAGAGTTCTTTGTTAAATTCGGCACCTCCATTACGGGTGCCCTCGATAATATCCGTGCCCATCAAATAGCCAAGGTAGGTTTATCACAAATTACTTAATATGCTCTAATTAAATATCTCTCATTCGCCCATTTGCAGCGCATCGATTATGGCTGCGAGCTAGCCGTGGTAATTGGCAAGAAATGCCGCCACGTCTCGCGTGTCGCCGCTATGAGCTGTGTTTTTGGTTATATGATTGCCCAGGATATTAACGCCCGTGACTGGAATGTATTTCTCGGTGGCCAAACCATGTTAGGTAAGTCGTTGGACACGTTCTGTCCACTGGGGCCAATCATCGTCCATAAGAGTCACGTACCCGATGTCAATAATCTGTGGATCAAGACGATTGTCAATGGTGAGGAGCGTCAGTGCGGTAACACAAAGAATATGATCTTCAAAATAGACTACCTCATACATAGATTATCCCAGTAAGTCAACCGAAGGCTATTGATATTCCAGTGCAATTAACATTCGATTCCATTTAGATTTATGACGCTCTGTCCGGGCGACATTATTTTAACCGGTACACCTGCCGGCGCTGGGGCTTATCGCAATCCGTCAAGCTATCTGAAGCCCGGCGATATGGTCGAGAGTGAAATACAAAAGCTGGGAAAAATGAGAAATAAAGTCGTAAATCCTTATTTTTAAATTATGGGAAACAGTGTGAAATAAAGTCGTAAACCCTTAAGTTCAAATTACATAGTCACATTAGATTTCAGTTTACAGGCCTCTTCTATATTTGTAATTTGTATAATTGAATCTAAAACAAAATCTGACAATCTGTTTTAAAGAGTGCATTTTTTTTTTTTGGGTTATAATTAAAACAAATCGGAGATAAACTAAACGGTCGACGTTATGGGGAACATAGTTTACAAATACATCAGACCGCTTGCAGCGGCGTGCGCCATCAAAGTATTTGCTGCCTGCTGTGTCTCGAGCATGAGGCGAGTCTCCTTCATCCAATCGTTGGCCACTTCGCGAGGAGCGCCTTGCAGCAGGTTTAAGTATTTAAGCGCCTGCAGGAAATCACCACGGTCCACATGGTACCTATCAAATATCAAAGCAGATAGTTTAGATTATAGATTCCATTAGATAATTTGCTCTTTGGCTCACCTGGCTCTATTCAATATGTCATAGGTGTCCAATTTGCTATAATCAAAAGGCTTGTTCTCTAGCTCATCGCTCGAAACTGGATTATCTGGCCGTAAAATGAAAAGGGATTGCAGAAATGAGAGGAAATAAATGGGTATGCTTCCTCCATTCTCTGGCACCATTGCTAGACGTCGCGCAATGCGTTCAACGTTCAGGAACCGCTCACGTAGCGCATCCTCCGGGAATACGCCACGCTCCTGAGCCTCCTTTGGCATGTTCTCCAGCACAGCAATTACCAATTCGTCGCCCTCTGAGAGACAATTGTGAGTCATGAAATAACAAAGTCGATCAAATCCATTATCAATTCCACTTACCAGCCACCTTGGCAATTGCATTGATCTCGTTCTTGAGTGGCCTCAGCTTATCCTTGTAGTGGACACCGGGCGTGGCAGTGCGTACAGAAGCCCAGAGGGCTTGGCAGGCAGCCCATAAAGCTTGCGCTTGGTTAGCAGAACGCTCAGTTTCAGCGCGTTCTATGATCAAGATTAAAAATGATCATTAATATTAAGCAAAAATCAACTTTTCATATGAATATAAATTGTTAGCTTGAGGAATATACCTGCGAACTTGTCCTCTATTTCTACGCAAGCAGCATTTATATGAGAGCAATACATTTAAAATATTAAAATGCTAGCCAAGATCATTTTAAGGTAAAAAATAAATAACTGCTAAAAAAAACATATACCCGATTGACACATAAAGCTTATGCATAATATAATATAAATACGAGTCTATCTACCTAAACCCCATTTCAATAGCTTACGTACCAGCCAGTGCAGCATCCATTCCGCGTAGCTTGCCAAGCATAGCAGCCAGTTGGAGCTTGTAGTTGGCCTTTTCAGCAGCCAATTTATCGTCCATTTCACGCTGGAAAGCGCGAGTCAAATCGCTTTCTCGCTGCGCAACGATGTCCTTAATATGATCTGTATGGGCTTCGGTTTGTTTCTTCAGCTGCAAACGCAGTTGCTTGTCCGCTTCGGCATGGATTTGGAATATTTTCTTTTGATTTTCCACCGCTAGCTTGCGCTTCTCAGCCTCCAAGTGGTAGTCGAGCTGAGCACGCAAAGCCTCCGAGCTATTGTCGCCGCGCAACGAATCAATGGCACGCTTCAAGCGCAATTCGCCGTCGGTTTGCAGGCGCTGCAGCTCCTTTTGGTAGGCCACCACATGCGAATAGGCATGCAGTATGAACAAATCCAGATCCTCTTTCGATAGGTTCAACTTCTTCTCAGCCAGATTGATGCCAGGGAAAATCGACTCGATTTCATCAATAAAATAGTTACGTGCCTGTTCTACACTACGCCAATATTTATCTGACACGCTTGCTGTGTCCTTCTGTCGGTACAGCTCATCCTTGACTTTATTTATATGCGCCACAAGTTTCTGAATCTTGTCTCGCACTTGCTCCACCTTCTCCTGGTTTTTCGCATTGGCCGCCTTACTCAATGCGATTTGACAGCGCTCTGAAATGAAAACGCATCAAATGGTTTTATTTCTTGCTTTTGTTGTCGATCCACACTCACCAATCTTTTCCTGTGCCTCGCGAGCCGCACGCTCTGCCACCTGTACGGCCGAGTCTCTTGCACTTGCTCGGTTCTTGAGTGTTGCCCACAGCGAGTTCTCCCCATGCTCCACTGCCTTGTCGACCACGCGACGAACATCATCGTTGAAACTGTAAATATTTATTTATAAATACGCACCACTTAAGAACTCCAATAGCAGAATTGTACTCCTTGATTGCCAACTGGGCCGACAGCTCGATGGCCTTCTCCAGCTCCACGACTTCGTGTGGCAATGGTTGAGGTTGAGGCGCAGCTGGTTTTGGCGGTGGCGGTGTTACGTCCGACTTGGTGGCAATTTTTGTTTCCTTCTGGGCAGCTGGCTGAGCTGGAGCAGCAGCAGATTTCAGTTTATCTGTTTTCTGTACCGCGGTTTCGTTTGGTTTCGATGCAGCCTGCACGGGGGGATCCTTTTTGCCGCCAAAGAATCCGGTTACTTTATTGGAAGCGGAGCTAACCGTATCCGAAACACTAGTAAAGGTCGATTTTATACTATCGATTTGGTCGTTAACACTTTTGGTGATTCCCTGGAATGGCGGCTCTTCCTGCAGTGCCACTTTGATCACCGCTTCGGCACCGGGCACATTCTTCTCAACCATCTTGCGGAAATCATTGTCGTACCTGCAATTACAAACACACGTGCACAAATTAACCTGACAGGCCAAGGAATCTGATTGGAGACTCACTTGGAATAGGTGATGACGCCGCCGACTGCAGCCAGTGGGCTCAATAGAACCATCACTTTGCCGAAGCCTGCTTCGCGTGCATTGGGAGGCGGGGGCAGGCTGCCTCTCTGCCGTTGCCGTTGGTGCTGATGCTGTTCCTGCTGTTGTTGATTTTGCTGTTGTCCATTACCACTGTGACTTCTGTTGTTATTACTGCTGTATTGTCTGCTGCTGGTTTGAGGAAGCGTGCGCTAAAAAGATATAATTGAACGATTCTAATTGGCAACGGGAAACACATATCAATGGTCAACAAATGCGGCCTTGCTGGAATTTTGGACATTTTTTGCATTTGGTAGATGACATAACACACAAGCACTCTTGTATATTTTTGCAATTGGCTTTGTTTGTGGGCGATTGCGGGGCGATCGGGTGGCACCGACGTCACAGACACGATTGATTTTCACATGATTTTAGTCACATTTATTACCTGCATCGCACTCTTGCACTCAATTGCTGCTAGTCTGTACATGATGTAGCCACAGAATTTCGTTAATTTACTTCGATGGTGCGTACCGCAGACTCTAACCGGCGGCGAGAATAATTTTCCTGCCCAATTTCTCTCCAACGACAAATACTGGCTAGCTCGCTGGCCGTCGACGTTATATGCACGTTTACAAAAGAATGGCAAACGATTGCTGCCAGCCTTTTCCATTCGTGCAGTAATGGATAGCCGTTGATGCGTGTAAGTAGTATTAAATCAACATAAATTTCTAACTTTAATTTGACTCAATTTTATACTATTTTACAAATATTAATCTAAATTCAATGTAAATGATGTATAAAAAACTGTGTTTTAAAATGAGCGCACTGCGTCGCCGTAAAGTGTGAATGCCTAATACCAAGCATGTGTTACTCTCGAACAGCTGAGCCAGAGGCTGTTACGCGACAGCGTTCCATAAGAAAATTTGGACATTATTTTGATCAATCAAAGAGAATACAGAAATGCTACGTTCGCTGGTTGCAGGTGGTAAGTTGAACAGATGCATAAGCATGTAATAATTGCGTGATCATTAATTATATGATTTCAACAGCAATGCGCAGTGTCTGCCGCGCCCAGCCGGCATTAGCGCTGCAGCAAACCCAACGGAACTTTTTTGGTCATTTGATTGCTGCGTCTTCTCCTGCTCAGAACAAAATAAGTTTACTACCTGCTCGCAGCCTAACACCGACGTTATTACAGCCAGCTGTGCTTGACGCATTTCCCGCTCGCAGCGTGACGAAGTTCTCACTCATCAAGGGCAAACGCAAGTCGGTGAAGGCGGTGCTAAAACGCTTCAAGCGCCTGGATTGGGGTGCCTGGATTCGTACACACTCTGGTCGCCATAAGAAGATGTTTAAGAAGTCCCCAGAGCTGCGCCGTCGTCTACGTCAACATGTCTTTACAAATGCCACACAGAGCTGGCTGCTGGACAAGATGGTGACGAGCTACTGGCGACGGCCTAAGCATTATATCGACGACCCATATTCTCCGTACCACAAACGCGATGAATACTTCGCAACCAAATCGAAAACATTTAAAGTGTAGTTGCTAAATGATTTAATAACATGTTTTTAACATTTGTTTACTTTACATAACATTGAATAACAACAATTAATTTGGCTTGCATGGAGCCACCACTTGGTTGGTCATCGTGCCCAGTCCAACGATTTCTGTCTTGATGACATCTCCAGCTTTCAGATACTCGGGTGGGCTGCGATACATGCCCACACCTTTTGGTGTGCCTGTCAAAATGATGTCGCCCGGCAGCAGTGTAATGGACCTGTCACGGATTAGCCATTAAATGATTAAATCTCATGAGGATTAGTCATGTTTGCTGAGCTACTCACTGAGTTAGTCTGTTGATGACATCATCTATTTTGTGGATCATATCGCCAGTATTGCCATTTTGCTTCTCGACGCCATTGATCCACGTCTTCAATGGCAAATCGTACACATCCTTAATTAAGCTCTTATGCACCACGGCAGGGCCAAGGGGACAGAAGGTGTCCATAGATTTGCCCAATAGAAATTGGCCCCCATTGCGCTCCTTTTGCCAGTCCCGAGCCGAGATGTCTTGGGCGATGGTGTAGCCAAACACATAGTCGAACGCTTCCTCCTTGGGCACTAGGCGGGCGACCTTGCCAATGACGACCACTAGTTCCACTTCCCAGTCAATTTTCTGATAAGATAATATAAATCAGAAAATATATGGCATAATCATAATCATATGTTGTACCACATACATTTGTCACTTCGTGCGCTATCACATCATCAGTTGGCCCCACCAACGTATTGTTGTATTTGCTGAAGAACATCGGCGACTTGGGGGCCGGCTTGTTCTGCTCGTCGCAGTGGTCTTGATAATTGAGGCCAATGCAAATGATTTTGCCTGGATCGCTCAATGGAGGCAGTAACGTGACGTCATCGTTCAGTGGAAGTTTCGGCTGTTTTTCAGCCTTTTTGGCGAGCTCGGCCAGATTCGGGTTTTGCGCAATCAAATTCTTGAGATCACAGGGCACGCCTTCGACGCCGCTTAGCTCAACCACAGACTTGTGATCGTCGGTCAAAAGACCGAGGCGCTTGGCGAGATCACCCTTACGCAAATATTGCACGAAACGCATTCTAGCAGACAACATTTATGACTGTTCGTTCGATCACCAGCTCCACTTGTAAGAACGAAATACGTACAACGAAAACGGCTGATTACCCAACACTGTCAGTTTAACAGTTTGACATTCTCAGAATGGAATTTTTGTCCAGAGAGATTGAGATGGGCGCGTGTCGTGTTTGCACGACAGCACGAAAGCCGTAAATCGAATATGTACGAGTTCATTGCATAAAATCACTAGTGATAATATGTATAAGCACTGTTCTTTGGTCAGTGGTATAAGCCAGATATTCTTACTTGCCCCAATAAAATATTAAATTTCTTGTTAATGTCAAATAAAAGTAATATATTTTTTCAATGGCAGCACCGAACTTGAACGCATACAGCGCAGCCTATAACATAGTTTTTGGATTCATTAATAACTTAGACCAATTTTGTACACTCCTAAAAAGCTTCCTATTCGCTACCAGCAGTTGCTGTTTTGCTATTGCCAGAGCTGCCAAATTTTTCTGATAATTCGTATTTCCAGCGCATATAGGCGACGCGCATGCGATCCCAAACGTTATCGACGGAGTCCATGGCCGGGCGCACATCTAATAAAGCAAAGCGGTAATCCTTGTCAACCAGGCCGCCATCATAGTAGTCAATGACATAGCGCACATCCTTGCCGCAACGGTCCACAATCCAATCGTGACGATCGAAAGGCAACTCATAACTAGAAGTGAACAATACTTTAAAATATTTATAGAGATAATCGTCTTTGGCTGTTTACCCAAGCCAGCTGCGGAAGCGTGCACGTGGACTGAAATCTTTGGCCTTGCCACCGAAACTCTTCAAGCGTGGATTGCCGCACTCCTTTGCATGTAGCGCCTCCCATTTAAGTACCTCCTGCCAGGCCTGCTCGTTGTTGGCGTTGTGAATGCGTATTATGTCGCCCATATCCTTCTGGGAGACATCCTCATTTTTCCAGCGCCAGCCCTTGCGCAACATTGCATTCCAGAACATCTGTTGGCTTGGATATTGCCAAAATTGTACGCTCCCATCCTCGGTCACCTTTGGTATGGTCGAAGTCTGACGATCTGTGGGCAGAGGAAAGGGTTGATCGGGTGCCGGCTGTTGGTTCGCTGGGGGCATCATATTCAATGGATTGACATCGCTATTGTCGTGCTGAACAGGGCACTCAGATGCCTGCATTTTAGGATGTGGCGGCACAGCAGAGGCCGACTCATTGCCGCCCTGTTTCTGATGCATGGGACATTCGGGCGGCGGTACTTTGCCAGCATTGGCCATATGCTTGCCATGCTCGGCTGGCATCGTCTTGACGCCCTCCATTTGGACCCTGGACAGCGCTGAGTTCCCCATATTTATTGATTTACTTCAAATTGTTGCTAGAATAAAAAAATTACTTTAACTGTGTCACGCGTAAATCTTTTGAATTCTCCGTTGCGTAACGCCGCACAAATCATATTGTGGCCGAAATACACAGTTGGAAAAGCTATAACTTACATGTATTTATGTTTAGGATGCGTTACAAAAACTTGCAATATTAAAATACTAATTGTCGTGCACTTTTAATTGATATTCTTCCAATACATTGTGAGCTCTCCAACAAATGTCTTGAAATGCAGCGAGGTTACGCACAGGGCTGCCACAACATCTAAAAAAAAGTATATTTTCTGGACTCGCAAAGTGACCAGGACGTAGAAACTGAATAAAATAATGAATTCAATTTGACGAAAAAATCACTGGTCCATATATAAAAAACTAGTTTGCAAATTCTAAAAGTATAAATAATTATTTGAAGCTGCCATCGAGAAACCCTGTCAACCCACTTTAGAGTGTGGAACAATTCTGCACAGTTTGTCGTTTACCAACACCAGCTGCATAGGCCGAAATTGTTATTGGATAGATTTTAGATTTTTGCTTTTAAAGTAAGTAAATGATACGCGAATCAGCAATAAATATTGTTTTTGCAGAAGCTGCAACCGAACTGCCATTCGTGATTTGCCAAAAGAAGGCCATTACCCGCTTAACTTAAGGTGGCAATCATGAATTGCAGCCAAGTATTTTGAAGCTCGTGTGATGTAACAACAGACAGCAGAAAATGCCAACCAATTGGTAATTATTATTATTTAGATTGTAATTAATGCTGGGCTTTTTATGACTACAGCATGACTGCCGTGTTTCGAGTTGGCCTGGTGCGGCTAGTTGGCCGTGGCTCAACCGCCCCCGCCCCTGCCACACTGCTGCAGGCCCAGACGACTGGATTGCCTGCCGCCTTCATGCAGAAGTGCAATATCTCCGGCAAGACGATGCGTGGCGGTCCACGGTGTCCCAAAGTGCCGCCCTACCCGTACAAGACGAAGAAGTACAATGTCTTCAGCGCCATTTTCGATAAGACCACGAAGCGTTTCGATGAGAACACGAAAGTGATTTGCGTCGAGGGTCCCATTGCGGCAGGCAAAACAAAGTTTGCCATGGAGCTGGCCGCGGAACTGGATATGCAATACTATCCGGCTGTTGATATGGATCTGATCTATATTAATCCATATGGCTATGATATGCGTAAATTGGACCCAGAGCTGCCGCCCAGCTGCCGCAGTTATGACATTAAGAACTTCTGTGCGGATCCAAAACATCCCTCGGCCGCTGCGTTCCAGATTCGCATGTACATGTTGCGCTTCTCGCAGTATATCGATGCACTGCAGCACATCTTGTCCACGGGCCAGGGCGTGGTCACAGAGCGCAGTCCCTTCTCCGACTTTGTCTTCATGGAGGCGATGTTCCGCCAAGGCTATATTTCTCGCGGCGCTCGCTCCGTCTACAACGATGTGCGTCAGAATACCATCGGTGAGTTGTTGAGGCCGCATTTGGTTATCTATCTGGATGTGCCCGTCGATGTCGTCCAGAAGCAAATCAAAGCGCGCAACTTGGAGCATGAGGTGAAATCAAAAGTGTTTACCAATGCGTACTTAACCGATCTGGAGGTCATATACAAGCAGCAGTATCTGAAGGACATTTCTGGTCATGCCGAGCTGCTCATCTACGATTGGTCAGCCGGCGGCGAAACCGAGGTTGTGGTGGAGGATATCGAGCGCATTAATTTCGAGCAATACGAATCGGATCCGCACAACAAGAAAATGATCGACTGGCGTTTCCCGCTGGAGACCGAGTGGTGCGAGGCGCGCATCAAGTACTGCAATGAGAAGTCCGACTTGATGAACTACTTCAATGTGCCACGTTTCGATGTGCCCGAACTCTTGCGCAGCGCCGAAGACGGCAAAGTCTGGCGTGATGTCTGGTACAATGTGAGTTAATTACCCAATTATGCTTAATTTACCCAAAGTCTAACTCGCATCATTTGTCTTCACCAGGCGCCTGGCATGAAGTACCGCCCCGGCTACAATGCGGATGTGGGTGACACTGGTTTGCTGACCAAGTTAAAGATTGGCATCAACGAGCCCTTTTAAGCCAGCCGTTTGCGTGCTTTGAGTTCAACTGGCGAAATGTGTTAATTATGTAATAAAAAATCTAGTAAAATATTTGTAATCCTTTCGCTGACGAACTTCAGTTTCTTCTATAATTTGCGTGGCGCTACAGCATGAAGTTCGGTGACTAAATCCGGGCTTGGTTACATATTCGGAATAGAAATATATACCATATACCATGTGAGCTATGATTGCGAACTTTATATATATGAAAAGTCTAACAAGTCCGGATGTATAATTTAATTTAAACTAACGAAGTAAGAGCGGAATCAAAACCAAATTAAAACACATACTTCTCCATATTTTCTTTTGTACTCAATTTAAAGAATCTGCAACGTGGTTAAAACATCTACTCTTTGGAGATATATTGTTTACATTAATGCATGTACAACCAGGATCGGGATTTGAAACATGACATACATATGGTACATACTCGTATATTATAAAAAACATTTAAATAATTACCAATTAAGTTTACTTCATCTTTAGTTAAGGGAATTGTTAACGCTGCAATCGGTAGAATAAGTCATTTATACAATAATGTTGCGCTGTCTGGATCGCATATTATGGAACATTAATTAGGGTTTAAAATGTGATGCGACTGATCGAGCAATGTTAATCGCTGTCGTAGTCATTTTTGCCCGCACCGCCAACGGAGGTGAGTGGCCGACGGGACTCCTCGTCGGAGCCGTAGACGACATCCTCATCTGAATCGTCAATCATGGAAATGGCTGGATTATCTTTGGTCACAGCCAATTCCGCCTGGGCGAAGCGGCCATCGGGCGAATACACATACGCCATGGTGTACAGGTAGAAGTTCAGCAGTCCATAAAAGCACATGAACTGCGCCGAACTCCGATAGGTGGTGTTCAGCGAGGCCACAAAGTTGTCCTCCAGTATACCAAAGCCGAAGCGACAGGTGGTCACCGTTATGGAGATGGACAGCACAAAGAGCATCAGCAGCGTGAGAAACTTTAACCGAATATCTGGAAGAGCGGAGAAATTCAGAAGAGAAATGAGGAGAAGTCGATGAAGTAAAGAACAAATGAAAAGAGAATGAATATGAAGGGAAGTAAATTGAGTAACGAAGCGAGAGTATAAGGAAAAGAGAGTAAAAAAATCGAAGGGAGAAAGAAAAGGAGCAGGAATAGAAAAAGTAATAAGAGATGGAACACCAAAACAGAAGAAGAATGAAGAGAAATGATAAGAAGAGACAAATTGTAGACAAAGGTTGAAAATTTGATGAGAAGAACCAGCAAGGCGAGAGAGATCATAGAGAGTAAAAATGACCAGAGCAAAGAATAAAAATTAAATTAAAGAAGGGAGAATAAAATATGAGCAGAGAAAAGAAAGTACAGTATATATATATCTGTACTATATATATATATATTGTTAATAAAAACATACCAAAGTAGGGCATGGAGCGCAGTTCGGTATAGGCTCGCAGCAGGAGCACGCCCAGATACAGCACATACATGCAGCAGGCAATGTAGAAGAACATCTTAAGGCCCTGCAAAATGCGATATATGGGGATAATAAGGTCTGTAGGTAATCCAACTGGGAGCTCAGCTGCACTCACATTATAGTTCTTGGTGTCTACGAAGTGGCTGTATGTGGGATCACGCAGTTCATTGCACTTCTCCCAGGTGGCCAGGACAATGGCGCACAGCCAAATGGGCAGCACCACGATGATCTTGACCAGGTAGAAGCTAACGAAGCGCCGCTCGTTCTGTCGCAGACCGTGGTAGATGCACAGCCAGAACATGAGCAGGGCGCAGAGGAATGTTGCCTGCAGAACGGCGTCCAGCATGCCAGGCAGCCAGGAATTCATCAAAAATATCAGCGGAAACAGTGGATCTACATTGAAGAGTTCAATTACAGGAAATCAGAGTTTAAGCTAGATCTAGTTTACTCTATACTCACTATCGTAGAGCAGCAGCAGCGGCAGCAGCACGGATATCCATTTCTGCTCAATGGACCAGTCATAGACGGGATACTTGCGCAGGGTGTGCGCATACCAGCACTGAGGGGAGGATAGATAGGGTTTATCTCTGTGCAATTATCTACATATATATTTCTGCACTTACGATGACTATGAACGTGAAGAGCAGAAAGATGAATCTAAACCAAATCTCAATCTGCGTAAACTCCGGGCTATACGTCTTGAACTGCAAGAAAGTCATTTGAGTGATTTTACTCAACAATTTGGTAATAATGAAATAACTAAAAATAATTACTAATAAAATCAATATGAGTTCTATTGCGTTAATACCAAGTAAAAAGGCTCTAGTCGAGACTGCTCGACTAGGAGATACCCAGAACCCTCCAAACTGATATTCTAATCATTCTGCACTTCTGTTATGCACACATACATACACACGTACACATAGCCACGCGCTCTGCTAACTGCGAATTTAGCAGCGACTGCGCTGCGGTGTGGGCAATATTATATAATATTTCTTTTGTAGACAGACAATCTTAGTGAAACTTTCAGAGCGTGATCATATGGTTAAAATGTGTGTACATTTCAAAGGACAAGTCTCTAGTACTTGTTCTGTCTATTCTGCCTGTTACATACATTTCAACAAAACCATTATACACTGATTTCCCGTTTCCAATGGATTCAGGGTATAATGAATATAAATTCATATTGGCAAAAATAAAAGATCAATGAAATATATATGAGAAATAATACCAGCAATTGGGATCTATAGCTATAGCTACTCACATAGAAGGTAATGGCCCTGATGTTGTACTTCTGATGGAACGACTCGAGTCCAAAAAACCGTACCGTGATGATGTAGTGGGCATAGTCGAGAAAGCCCAGATGCATGACGGTGAACTCCTCGCAGTCGTTGCGCACACAGAGCAAGTGCCTCGTGCGGTTGTGGGCGGTGCTAGTGCCCAGGACGCTGAGTGGCTTGTGCTGCTCGTTGATGCCATCGATGGAGACGCTGATCTGAAAGCTCTTGTCGTAGCGCTCATCTGTGCAAGCAGAGAGACAATGAGTGACCTGAGAGCTGGTGCATGGACTGAACACTCACCATCGTTGTTATCGGTGACCAGTTTGGCTATGAGCCACATCTGCTGCGAATAGGTTGTCATCAGAGGCGATTTCATGGCAAAGGGCCCAGTGGCCAGCACCGTTTTACTCTTGGCCAGCGTCGTGTTGGCCAGTATCTGCTGTGCGGTGAGTGCGTCTGTTGTTGTTATTGGCGGGCCGGTCAGTCCAATGATGATGCCCAAGCCGAAGCAGGTGAAGAAGCCGAGAAAGACCATGACGAACTCCCGCTTGTGCATGGAGTACATGCGCATATGGACGGATCGCTCGCAGCGGTCGTGAAAGAAGGCAGGTGAAATGTATTTGTTGAACTCACTGAACAGATCGCTGAACTGCGACAGGGAGTTCTTGAGGCGCAGCAAAAGGCCGCCGGATGGCAGATGATAGGCATAGCCCAAGCCGGAGGCGTCTGTGGGTGGCTTGGCCATGGCTCTACGACTGTGAGTGCTCGTCGAATGGAAGTGCTCTTGTGTTTTGTTGGTACGTTTGTTTAATCCTCAAATTTCAAACGGGTGCATTTTCCCAATGGCGCTGAAACTTTTTGACAGTTGCAGCAGCGCTGGCAAAGCCTGAATTAATTATATATCTTTTTGGTTTCTTTTCGCTTATTTGTTGTGCAAAACAATTTCTGCGTCTTTCGCCTGCTTGCTTGTGAGAAAAGTATTGATTTTGGCTGGCAATCTCACATATGTTTTGCGCCCTGGGGTGGGCCACAAAATTTGATTGCAAGCCGAAGCGCCATATTGTACAGTTTGGCAAGCACTGCGCATGCGCTCTCTTATCAGCTGGCCACAAAATGTAAACAAAAACGTTACCTTTGTAAATGTTTACGTTTATTTAGTTATAATTATACTTGTAATTAAAAATCACAAAACAAATATGTTTTCTATTAATTTTCTATTGCAAGCAACCCATATAGAACAGTTTAGCAGTCACTGCACTCCAGAAGCAAATGTAAACAAAACTGTTAAAATTCAGAAGTTCTAGCTCATTTAATCATTTAATATTTTACTTTTTGTGCTTATCAATTATTTTTTCTATTTCTGTAATTTAATCCCAATATTTAATGAGACCATCCCAGCCGGCGGTAACCAATTTGCTGGCTTCGTGCGGATGCCACAGGGCACTGATGCAGACGCCATCGTGCGCCTGCCATTTCTTGTACATTTTCGTCGTCTTCCAGTCCCAGATGTAGCACTTGCCATCGCCATCCCCCGACACCACATAGCTCATGTCCGGCGAGAAGTCCAGCTGGCAGGCATAGCCGGAGACCATGTGGCCGGTGAATGTCTTCTTCCGATTCATCTTGAAGCGATTGAGGGCGGAGAATATCACGATTTTGTTGTCCAGCGATTGACAGGCCATCCATTTGCCATTGGGCGCCAAGGTGACTGCTGGCATGGAATGCATCGTTGGGTCGGCAATGTACTTCATGTCCACAGGTATGTCCCACTCCCAAATGCGCATTGATTTGTCATCCGACGTAGTCACGAATCTCCGATTATCGTCCACAAAGGTAATGGTGCTGACAGAGCCCAAATGACGATCGTATTCCTGAACAATGTCGCCACTCCGTATGTCCCACTATGGAAGAGATTAAGCCTTAGTTTAGCTCTAATCATGCTGGATGGATTCACACTTACACAAATGATCTTTTTGTCCGAGGTGCCGGCCACGAAGAGATGCTGCTTGCTGTTGTCTGGATGAAACTTAACGCAAAACGGCATTTTGCGTGTGGTAAAGCGCGACACAACATCGCCCGTCTCCGCATCCCAGAGCTTTATGTAGCGATCATACGAGGCGGACAGAAAGTGGGAGCCCTTGTTGTTCCAGGCAATATCCTTGATGGCCTGCCGATGGCCGGAGAAGGTGCGTACGCATCGCCGATCGCCATACACCTCCCACAGCTTGACGCGGCAGTCCATGGAGCCGGAGAGCAACAAATGGGCCGTCTTGGGAAACCAGCGAATGGAGGAGATGCCCTTGTTGTGGCCCGTCCAGGTGTGTATGTGGGCCTTGGGCAGAAAACATTTCGGTGGCGGCGCATTCGAGCGCAAATTGATACCCAAATCGTGTGGCGCATGCAGATACGAGCGGCCCTGGTAATCGTAGGCATCCTTGACTGTGGGGAAAGAAATTATGAAATATAGATTTATGACTTATATTCATATCAATTTTCCAAGCTTACTGTGCAGCGTGGACTTCTCTTCCAGTGGCTTGTCTTCGGGTATGCGTCCTCGTTTGTGTCTCTTGGAGAGCAGTTCGTCCAGCTCGGCTCGCTCCTGTTCGTTGGGCTTGGCCACGCTTATCTCGTTCTCGTACTTTCCCCATGGTCCGAGAAAGCCTTCTATGTCCTCTGGATTATCGTTCTTCTCCTGTTTGCGCATCTTCTTTGGCTTTGGCGACTCGAAGACCGTTTTGCCATTGTCATCGTAGGCGGACTGGAGATCACCCACAAAAGATTGCCCGTCGGCTTCGTTGTCCACCGTGGGATCCAGAGCATAGCCATAGGTGTGGAAGGTGCGTCGCTGGTTCTCGAATTCAAATGCATTTATATGTGCCTTCTCAACATAGCCAGCTAGCGTGTTGCGTGGCGCCCGTTGCTGCATTGTCAAGTTGGGATGCTCTGGACCTTGGACGGGCGCATACATTTCTTCGTACCGTGGATTGTAGGCGACTTCCTTGAGCGTGGGGTCCAGCGTACGTGGCACGGCCGCTGTGCCCATTGGCACGACGTCGGGCGCTGCACAAACGGCCAGCGTTGTAGACAACGAATGGGTTTTGTCCACGGGCTGCAAATGCGCGGTCAACTCTTTGGCAGCTTCCTCGCTTTGTTCGTTGTCCGAGTCATTCTCGGATGAGCTGCCGTAGGATTGCAGTCCCAGCATGGTTATCTAGAGACTGCGTACGAATTCCGTATATCTGTTCACAAAATGCTGCAAATATAAAATAAACAAACTGTACAAAATGAAAATAAAAACGTTTATAGAAATTTCCATCAAGGTGGCGTTTGTATGCCAATTACTTGTTCGTTGTGACTGTGAAAATGTAGACATGCCAACTCGCTCAAAAATAGACAATAAAATTTCAAGAATTAATAAGTGAATTTAATAATTTTCACGGAACTGGTTATTTATTATAAAATCAAATGAATAATTTCACGAATTGCATATGAAATAAAAATTAAAGCTATTCGCAATTAATCAGTGGCCTACGGGAATATACTTATTTTTATCGAGTATATGTATATCGATTTAATTACGCCCAGCTGTTTGCGGGTTTTTAGCTATTACATGTGAATGACAATATCGTGGTCCTCAACACGTGCGCGTTTGTTTTATTCCAAGTTGTGTTTTCATACCGCAATTCCTTAAAATGTCGATCCGGGAAAAACTCCTAATGAAAAAAATTGTTAAGCGTGAGAAAATGAAGAAGGAGCTCTCACAGAAAAAGGGTAAAGCGAAGCAGGTAGCACCGGAAACGCCAGTCGAAAAGGCTGCCAAAAACAAGCCGAAGAAACAGAAGCGACCTGTGGAGCCTGAAGAAGGTCTGTGAAAAACGATAGCACTTTAATCCATATATGCATACATTAAAAACATTTTATAAACAGAAGAGTTGGAAAAGAGCGAAGCGAAGCAGTCAGTGCCAGAGCCACCAGTGGGAAAGGCTGGAAAAAACAAGCTGAAGAAACAAAAGCGGCCTGCGGAGCCTGAAGAAGGTGTGTGAATAACGACAGCATTTCAATTTATATACATATGTATACATTAAAAACATTTTATGAACAGAAGAGTTAAAAAAGAGCGAAGCGAAGCAGTCAGCGCCGGAACCACCAGTCGGAAAGGCGGGAAAAAACAAGCTGAAGAAACAAAAGCGACCTGTGGATCCTGAAGAAGGTATGTGAAAGCGATAGTATTGATGTATAAATTTAAAACATTTTATACTCAATAGATGACTTGGAAGATGATTTCCAACAGCAGCGGCAGAGCAAAGGCAAGAAGCGCCAGCAGCAGAAAAAGAAGCCACAAATTGAGGTCGCAAACTCCGATTCAGAGTCAGAATCAGAAGAAGAAGAAGAAGAGAACGCGGTGAGCGGTAGTGAAGCAGAGGATGATGAGGGCGACGAGGAGATAGATAGCGAAGGTATATTACATATAGACATTATTAGAATGCTATATTTAAGGATGATTCAAAGGCGAATTCGATTTGCTCTGGAGCAGCGAGTTAATGTTGCCAATTGCAGGCATGAGATATACAAAAAAGAAACTGAAACTCTTATATTGTAGCTTAAGACTACTTTAAAAGAGATCCTCATTAATCCTGTCGTAATATTTACAGCTGCAGACTCAGCCGATGCGGGTGAGGAGGACGAGCCTGTGCCGGCCAAGAAATCCAAGTTACAGCCTAAAGCAGCTAAAAAGGCGGCCACAGCAAATGACAAAGCTACTGAGGAAGATGTACCCTTCTCTGTGGAATCGTCTTTGGCGGCACTGGACCATCGGGATTCGGATGATCGCACCTTTGCCTCGCTCAAAGGCGCCGTCTCTGAGGCTACGTTGCGTGCCATCGAAGAGATGGGCTTCACTGAGATGACCGAAATCCAAGCCAAGTCCTTGACGCCGCTGCTCAAGGGCCGAGATTTGGTGGGTGCTGCCCAGACTGGCTCAGGCAAAACCCTCGCTTTCCTTATACCCGCCGTGGAGTTGATCAATAAGTTGAGGTTTATGCCACGCAATGGTACGGGCGTCATTATCATCTCGCCCACACGCGAGTTGTCCATGCAGACGTTCGGTGTGCTCAAGGAGCTGATGGCACATCATCATCATACCTACGGCTTAGTCATGGGTGGCTCCAATCGTCAGGTGGAGAGCGAGAAGCTGAGCAAAGGCATCAATATTCTGGTGGCTACGCCAGGACGTCTGTTGGATCATTTGCAGAACTCCCCGGATTTCCTGTACAAAAACTTGCAATGTCTGATTATCGATGAGGTGGATCGGATACTGGAGATTGGTTTTGAAGAGGAACTCAAGCAGATTATCAATCTGCTGCCAAGTAAGAGAAGAATATTACTTGATGAAGCCTCAAATTTTATAATTTGATTATAATTTTTTAGAACGCCGTCAGACTATGTTATTCTCGGCCACACAGACGGAGCGGATTGATGCGCTGTCCAAGTTGGCGCTCAAGAAGGAGCCCATCTATGTGGGCGTGCATGATAACCAGGAGACGGCCACCGTCGAGGGACTTGAGCAAGGCTACATTGTCTGTCCGTCCGAAAAGCGTTTGCTGGTGCTCTTCACGTTCCTCAAAAAGAATCGCAAGAAGAAGGTCATGGTCTTCTTCTCCTCATGCATGTCGGTCAAGTACCATCACGAGCTCTTCAACTACATCGATCTGCCGGTCACATCCATACATGGCAAGCAAAAGCAAACGAAACGGACGACGACCTTCTTTCAGTTCTGCAATGCCGAGTCGGGCATTCTGCTCTGCACGGAT